CCTGGTGAAGTATTTAGAGGGGAAGTGTATTGATCCATGTAATTTACTTTGAAATGCATCAACAAATAACATGGATTGATGAATAGGTAGACATGTGAATAGTGAAACATTAATGGTAGGATCTAGAAATCATCTATATCAAGAGGATGTTGGTATTCACTGTGAAATTATTTCAACTTTCCTGTATGTGGAAAGCATTTCAAACTTTGATATTGGAAACAAAAGATACCTTATCTGCTGAGGGAGAATGTATTTTAGGGGAACAAGAGTAGAAGTGGGGAGATTGTTGAGGAGGCAATTGCCATATTACAGTGAGAGATGATGCTAGTTTGAGTTGGAGTGGTGGGAGGAGATGGCGAGAGGTAGAATCAATATAGATTGGTGGGTAGAAGTAAGAGCAATGTATTGGAGGTGGGAGGTGAGCAATAGGAAGGAATCAGTAATGACAGCTAGGATTTGATTTTGTACTACAGGATATATGACAGTAGTTCTATGTGGTAGAGAAGAAAGAGATTTGGAATATGTGCAGGATGGAATCAAGAATTCTGTCTTGGACCTACGTATTAGGTATGCAGTTGGATGTAAGGTTGGTGTGCAGAAGAGACATCTTGGCTAGAGAAATAGTAATGGGAGTCATTTAAAAATTATCAGCTATGGTATTTAAAGTCATGAAAATGGATACGATAACCTAGGAACCAAGTGTAAGAAGAGGAGAGGAGAAGAATAGATGGAGCAGCTTTGGGTCTTAAGAAATAGCAACATTAAGAGGTCAACCAGCCTGACCCTGGCCGGTTTGGCTCAGCGGTTGGAGCGTTGACCTGCCGTCCAGAGAGACCCGGGTTCCGTTCCCACTAGTGGCACATACCACGGTTGCAGTTTGTCCCCAGCCCTGGTTGGTTGTGCGAGTGGCAGCCACACGATGTGTCCCTTTCACGTTGATGTTTCTCTCTCTCTATCTCTCTTCCTCTCTCTCCCTCCCACTCTATCTGAGCAAAAAATGGACACTGGAAAAGTGTCCTTAGGTGAGGATAAAAAAAAAAAGAGGTCAACCAGCCTGGCTGATGTGGCTCAGTGGTTGAGCATTGACCCATGCACCAAGAAGTTGCTGGTTCAATTCCTGGTTGGGGCACATACCCAGGTTGTGGGCCAAATCCCCATTATGGGGCATGCAGGAGGTGGCCAGCCGATGTTCTCTCTCATCAATGTTTCTATCTCTCTCTCCCTCTCTCTTCCTCTCTGTAATATCAATAAAGAAAAAAAAATTTAAAAAGAGGTCAACCAGGACAAGATAAAGCAGCAAAGGAGATTGAGAAGGTTAATTGGAAACTGACAGAGAAATAATCATAAAGCCAAGAGAAGAAAGTGTTTTAATGGGGAAAGAATAGCTGAACTGAATGCAGCCCACAGACTGGGTGAATTGATGATGAACATAGTCATTGGCATATGAAGCATACTGATGGCAACAAGAGCAGGTGTGTATGGCAAAATGTACTAAAAATCAAGTTAAAGAAGCAAAGAAACCAAAAAAGATTTGGAAAAATATGATTCATACACAGATTCACAGAAGGAATACTATCTATAATATATAAAGCACTGCAATAATTCAATAAGAAAAGATAACCTAATGGAAAAAAATAGAGAAAGATATGAAAAAGGAATTCTTAGCAGAATAAATATGATGCTAAGTCTGACTTATAATTATAAAATTCTCAATAAACAACAATGAGATACCATATTTTTCTCTTTGGTTGTAAAATATATAATACTTCACAATTTCCAGAATGTGCAAAGATACTGTCATACTCTGTTGGTATGTAAAGATGTTTTGAAAGATAATTTAGTGGTATGTATCAACATAAAATTACTTAAGCCCGTTTTCCATTAATTTTACTTCTAAGAATATGTTCAGCAGAAACTCATACATAGGAGTGCAAGATTATATCTTACTCACCAAACCAAAGACACCACTGATTGAAAGGCGAATCCCAATTTCAGAGATATTACAATGTGAAGATAAGTATAGCATAGAAATGATTAAATACAGTATTATAAAGATGTTCTTTGCAGCATTTTAAAGAGTTAAAATTAGCCCAGTCTGTGTGGTTTAGTGGTTGAATGTTGACCCATGCACTAAGAGGTTGCTGGTTCAATTCCCAGTCAGGGCACAAGTCCAGGCTGTGGGCCCAATCCCCAGTGGGGGGCATGGAGGAGGCAGCAAATCCATGTTCTCTTTCATTGATGTTTTTATCTCTCTCTCCCTCTCCCTTCCTCTCTCTCTAAATATCAATAAAAAAAAATTTTTAAGTTAACATTAATAACACTGAATTTTAAGCTGCTCTTCAAAGATCAAAGATCTAATGTACTGACATGGAAACATGGCCACTATTGTTAAGTGACAAAATAAATTTGCAGAATAATATTTTAATGTGATCCTATTTCTATAGGAAAAAATTAATATGTTAATTTTTAGTTATAGCTTCATTTAAAAAATTCTGGTAGGTTAAACAAAAAACAGTGGCAACTTCTTGGGAATGAGATTGGCCTGGAGGTGAAGGCTACCTTTTACTTTATACATATATGTATTTTCCAATTACAAAAAAATCTCTATGTTTTAGCTTGAACAACCTGATTTGTATAAAGTTAGCTACCTGAGAATGAGATAGAAGAAGGATAGCGTCTGAGCATTTGGGTATTAAGTTGAATATTTCATGGTCAGCGATACGATTGTAAACTTTAGGTTTTCTTCCCAAATGTTTAATGAATTCAAACAGAATTATGATCTAGAAGTTGTAAAATTGTAAGTGGGAACTGGATGATTCAGAATGCTGTGGTGATAAAGGGGATAAGTAGGAACACTATTTTAAGGAAGAAATGTAGAATTTAGAGAATGTATGGAAATTTTGTCTAAAAGTCAACATTGTATAATTGTCATTCTGAAATTCAGAAACTAGAAATCCTTGAGATATGGGAAATGGGACTCTTTGCAGGGATTTGGCTGCCAGACTTCTTATGTCCTTGGGGCCTAGGGGAGTACCCAGCAAAGACAGCTGCAGTCATGCATTTGGCAGCTACAGCTGACACTGAGAGGGTGGATCAACAGAATGGCCAAGCCAGCTGCCTCAGTATTCACATTAGGAATTGGGGTAAGAAATTAGAAAGGGAATATTTAAGACGCATGGATAGTAACAACACTAATGATTTTTAAAAAACTAGCATTCCTATAACAAATCTCAAATATAAATAACCATATGCCATCTTAATATATGCTGGATATTAACATTTTCATTAGTAGTAATGACTAAACTATTGTAAAATAAAAGATAATCTTCTATAAGATTATTGAAACTCTAAAATTCCACTTTTCCATACAGGTCAAAATTCCTTCTACAAGCTGAGTCTTTATTCCCCACCAGCTTGGGAATTTAGGTATTACAGAAGTGGGAAATAAAATGCCTTGCTAATTCTAGTCTTTGGAGACATTTGTAAGTCCATATGATTAAATATATGGAAAACCATGTAAGCACAGAGACAAAGCTACTACAAGAAAATTTCAAAAGTACAGTAACAAATCAATAGTAAAAAGAAATTCTCAGTACAACTGAGGAAATATGAATATGAAATGGTCATTAGATGATACTGAATAACTTTTATGTTATTAGTTAATTGGTTAGATGTGATAATGATATATTTATGTTAGAAAATATTAACGTTAAACATTAGTATTGCATGCTCAAGTTGTTGAGGTGAAATGTCATGATATCTATGATTTATATTAAATGTGCTAGCCGAAGATATTGATGAAGCTAATATGTCAAAATATGAATGTCAAATCAAGATGATGAGTATATGGGAGTTCATTATACCTTGCTATGTATTCTTACATAAACTTATTATAAAATGTTTAACGAAGTACGGGTAAAATAAAATTCAAAAGGACAATAAAGCCCCCCAAAACCCTACAGATAGTTTATTGAATAAGCAAAATTAATTGACGCTTACTATGCGATGGTAGAGGGTATTCCAGCTGAGAACACCCCTCATTGCAGAGAGGGCCTAGCTCAGATAAGGAGATCTGTATCCCAATTTAGGTCCTGCTTACTTTAAGGGCTCCTGCTCAGGTAGCCTCAGTTTATTTATTCAGAAAGTGCAAGGATTAGATTAGTTGATTGTTTTGTCCTTCCCAGTTCTGAGATGTTACACAACAGAGGCTATAAACTCGAATGTCTACCAGTGCCAAGCAAGGAATTCAAATTGTGTTTGCAGTCTAAAGGGGGCGCCTCTTCAACGGATAACGTGGGCTCCGTGTTTCTTAGCCTTTTTTTTTGAGATTAGGAAGAAATACGGATTTTTTAAAATGTGAAATTAAAGATTTGTAAATGTTGATAAATGAAAATGTAAAGTAAAACGAAGGTGTAGAGTGGCGCAGGGGGCACCGCCGAACTGCGCTGCACGTTTGCCGTCTCTGCGCTTCCAGGTCTGCGGTGGCCGGGGAAGTACCGCGGGACAGGCGAGCCTTGTAAAACCGTGAGATTAAAACAGACGATCACAACATCCAGCAGGGATTCTAGGAATGCAATTCTGCTTCAAAATACAAGTTTATTTCAGCCTACGATTTCATCCACGGACGAAACTCAACACGACCATCTGCACTGAAAGCCGGGTTATTATTTTCGTTAGTTCTCTCTTCCGCCGGCGACCCGGCAGTTGCGCAGCTCAGGGCCATTCCCGCCCCTGATTCCACAGCCTCCCACGGCACCGGGGGCCGATCCCCGGCCGCGTTCAGCCGGGAAGTTTGCCGGCGCCTGGAGAACCCCTGGAGGAGCTGCCTGGCATCCCTGGGCGCTCAAGGAGAAAAATGTTGCTCGGCACCTGGCAGGGAATTCTCAACCGGAAGCTGCGCCTCCGGTTCTGAGCGCTTCCTGTTTGGTAACTAAGGACGCGGGACGGTTGCTAGGGCCCCGGAGGCAACTCCACTGAAGCTTTTCTGGAGCCTCGGTGCTGCTAATGGGCCTTATGAAAAGGCGGGTCTTTTCTCCGGACCGGTCCCGTTTGCCATCATGAGTAGCGAGTTTCTGGCAGAGTTGCAGTGGGAGGATGGGTTCGCCATCCCTGTGGCGAACCAGGAGAACAAGATACTGGAGGATCAGGTGAAGAAGGCTGGGGAAGGAGGGGTCTTTGGGGACCGAGGGGGCGCGGCAGGTAAATTTTCTAGTTGGCAGGAATACCTCAATCCTTTTATTTCTTTCATTTCCCTCCCTAACCCCAACTCTTCTCTGTCTAACGCTCCTCCGCACCATCTCTCCTTTCTCCTCACCTTACTGCCCCTTTCTGTACTTCTGAACATTAAAAAATCTATTGAAACGACAACTGATATTCACGACTGTAAAGTCCGAATCTTTACTCCTTCCTCCTCTCCCTCTCGGTGTACTCATTTCCAGCCTCTGGAGCAGAAGAGGAAAGGCTGGTTCGCTGGTTCCCAAGCCCACTTTCCCTTTCCTCGGAATTAAGCGCGTTTTGCAGTGGGACTTCTATGGTTTGCATAGCAACAGTTACTGTGGTGGATGTGTAGACACAAAACACGTTCTGGCGCACATTTCTCCAGAGTTCCGCCTATGGTGTTTAAAGTGGAAAGTGACCCGAAGAAATGTTTTTAAGAGGGTCGTTTTAGTAAGAATGTAAAATGCTCAGCTTTTCAAATGGAGAATTAAGTTGTTGCAGAATGTTGTAAAATAATTTAAGTTGTAAGGAACGTTTTACATCAGCTTGCAACCAGTGCGTAGTAGTTGTTCAAAATGAAATTGCACCCAGCTCAGGAAAATTGAAAAAACCTTCAGCAGTCAATCTCAAGTTCCATCACATGGCAATGTGTTGTGTGGAAGAGAATCCCAGAAGAACAGATGATGATTACACTACTTAGAAATTGGAAGAGGTTTTCTCTCCTCTGAAAAATAAAAATTCTTCACCCTTTCTTCTTTCAAAATATTATTATCTATTTACTCATGCCTAATTTGGATGGCTGCAGTTTTTGTATTTGTTTTCAATGAAGGGCAACGTGAAGGAATATAAGAGATCTAGCACTAAGTACTGAGGCATAATAATATTAGAAGTATCCAGCCCCAGGTTTTGAACCTACTTACCAGCACTGAGCCAGTTTCTTCTTCTGTAAATTGAAGATAAGTAAAATAATCATCTCATAGGTTTGATATACAGCTCTGAAGACATTAAAGTTCCATTCAAATGTTAGTTTTTGGTATTAGTGCCATAATATTCGTCTCACAGGATATCAAATACATATTATATTAGCTATTTAAAAAACATTACAGAGCAATAAAAAAGAAAAATAATGAGGGGGCCATAATTACTTCACCTGAATAAACTCTGACATTAAAAAAGGTAACACTTGTAAATTTAAGATATTCAAACAGAACAGAGGGGTATAAAATAAAAAATATTAAATATTCCCTCCCCAAAGTACCTGCTGTTGACCATAGAAGTGACTACCATGGCATAAACAAATATTTCAGACATCACAGTCTACACTACATAGATAAAAGACAAACAGGAATATTATAAAAATGAAATGCTAATATATGTGCTATTTTTAACATAAACATTTAAATTTAATTGTAGTTACACTTAAGAGAGGAAAAAGAAAGAAATTGTTGAGTTTCAGTTAAGTGTTACTTGATTATGAGATAGTGATAGCTAAAAAATTCCTTTAACATTAAGAAAACCTACACAAGAAAAAAATGAAAAGGTTATTTTTTAAATTATTTGTTCCAATTGTAGACTCCTTGCTCTTTCATCTTTTAAATGAAGAAATTAGCTCTTGTACTTCTTTCCACATTCTTTTATCCCATTTAAAAATAGTGCTTTTATTATTTTTCTATTATCAAAGCTTATTTTCTTTTCATTCTATTCAATGCCTTTAATTTACTACAAATGTTTAGTCTTAGTCTTATACTTAAAATGATTTAATGGTCCTTAATGTAGCCACTTTTACTTACTTTACCTTTTCTTATTTCATTTTTTTAATCCTCACTGGAGGATATATATATATATATATATAAATATATATAATATATATATATATTTGCATTTATCTTCAGATAGAGCAGGAGGGAGAGAGGGAGGAAGAGAGAGAGAGAAACATCGATGTGAGAGACATTGACTGGTTGCTACCCACACAACCCCAACCAGGATGGAAGAACTGCAACTGAGGTACGTGCCCTAAGCGGCAATTGTCCACGGGCTGATGCTCTCACCGCTCAGCCAAACCAGCCAGGGCTTGACTATTTCACTTTGACACATCTTTTGACTGGTTGGGCTCTATATTCATAAGAAAGGCCATTGTACTGTGCTTCTATCTATTTATATCTATCTATCTATCTGTCTGTCTGTCTGTCTGTCTGTCTGTCTGCCTGCCTGCCTGCCTGCCTGCCTGCCTGCCTACCTACCTACCTACCTATTTTTTTATTCTCACCCAAGGACATGCTTACTGATTTTAGAGAGAGGGGAAAGGAGAGAAAGAGAGAGAGAAAGAGATACATTAATGTATTGCCTTCCTGAAGGTACCCTGACCAGAGATCAAACCTGCAACCTAGGTATGTGCCCTGACCAGAATCGAACCTACAGTCTTTTGGTGTATGAGACAGTGCTCCAGCCAACCAAGCCACTCTGACCAGGGCTATACTGTGCTTTTAATTCCTTGCATCTTTGGTTGCCAGTTTGATTCTTGCATTGCCTGCTTTAAGTTTATATCAGATCTTCAAGATACTTTCTCCCTCCCCCACTCTTTCCTGTTGGAGTCCTGTGTTTTCCAGTATGGACAATTTTTCCACTGCCTATTTCCCAACTGTACTTGTTAATTCCCATTTTTATCCTTACAGGTTTGTCACTCTGTCTCCTAGATCACGTAGCTCCTTCTTTCTTGGATTATTGTCTTTTTCTAAATGGAATACTTTCTTGTATCTCCCTAAGAAGGGTGCATGGGAGGTAAATATTCGAATTCAAAAATGTATTTATTTGCTTTCACACTTGATGGTAATTTGGCTGCACAGAAGATTCTAGATGAAATGTAATTTTTCAACAGAATTTGGAAAGTATTTCCCTGCTGTCTTCCAGTAGTATGTAATCCAATATTAGAGTGATTTTCATTTCTTTGTAGGTTACTTTTTTAATCTTTGGAAGTGTTTAGAGTTTTGTTTCATTTTTACAATGCAGTTTTTATTTTGGCTACTATATCAATCATATTTTTAATTTTCAGGTTATTTTCTTGTTGCTTTATTGTAGCACATGGTCTTGTTTTAGGAGTACAATATCATTTCCAATCTCTCTGAGTGTGTGTGTTTGTGTGTGTGTGTGTGTGTGTACATGTGTGTGTATGCATATGTGTGTGTTTTAGTTCCTTTCTTTTGTGTCCTGAATTATCTATTTCTTCTGGGATCTTTTTTTTTTATTTGTTTATCTTGATATCCCTCATATGATGTTAGTTTTCAATAAATATCTGGTGGTCCTTGCATTTATCAAGTGAATGATAAAATCGTAACGATACTATGTGAAGTAAAATAAACTGAACACAAAAGGACAACTAGTGTATCATTCCAGTATGTTATGCCCAGAGTGGGTCTGCCTCAGGCCAGCCTATAGTCTGAGAGTTCTTGACTTTGTGTAGGAAAGATTTTGCAATACAAGTCCAGGTGATTTTGAGAGTATGTTTATTAAAGCTGGGGACAGTGGAACAAAAGAAGGACTCAGGGTAGATGAAGCAACAGGAGAAAGCCTGGGCGGTGCTCCACTTTGGCTCCCTAGGATAGTTATAGGAAAGAAGTGAGCCAAGGTGGGGCTGCTGTTAGCTCACCGGGAAGTGAAGGTCACAGTGACAGAAGTGAGCCAAGGCTGGGCTGCTTTTAGCTCACCGGAAAGTCAGAGAAAAACGAGGCCTTAGAGACAGGATCAGGAGGTAAACCTGGGAAGAGCTGCTGCTGCCTGCTGTTCCCCTGGTTGTAAGTCTTGTGGGGACCCTTAGAGCTTAGGAGGAAGTAAAAAGTTCATGCCCCAGAATGGACATGGGCATGCTCTAGAGTGAGCCCTTGTGCTAGTATCCTTTGTCTTGGAGACTTTATCTCTTTTCTCCAGGTGAGAATCTTAGGGGAAGGTTTTAGCAGAATATTAATTAGCTTTCCAGGTGTGTTTTTAATATGCTGATGTATTAAAATAAGTGTATAGGGGAGTTGGGGATTATTCTTTGGTTTGTTGTACTGTTTTACTTTTATCTTGGGTCTATATGACTTTAATTGGGTTTTATTTGTTCCCCTGACTTTATCCATCCTTGGATTTAGTTCACACAAATGGCATTAATTGGGTCTCTGTTCTTTATTTTCCTGACCAGGGTGATTTAAGCTATGTATTCTCTGGTTAGGGAGGAGAAGTATAAACCATTTGCTCTCAAGTGTCCTTGGTTAGGGAAGATAAGGTCTTGCCATTCACTGACTGGCTGTAAATTGTTCAAATTGTTTGTCCTTGTTTCATTATCTTGTCTCAGTTTCCCCATTCCACTTGCCCAGGAATTTTCCCAGCTTTTTGCTATCCTGCCTCGCTTAGAATAGTCAAATTCATAGAGACACAAAATAGAATGGTGATTTCCAGGGGCTGCGGGGAAGGGAAATGGGGGGTTAGTGTTTAATGGCAGAGTTTTAGTTTGGAAAGATGAAGATTTTCTGGAGATGGATAGTGGTGATGGTTGCACAGCAATGTGAATGCACTTAATGTCACTACTTATGTGCTTTGAAAAATGGTTAAAATGGTAAATTTTCGTTTTATACACTTTATCACACTATTGAAAAAATAGTAATAGAAAATTTATAGGTCACATTCTCTGATTATAAGCCAATAGAATTTGTGTTCATTTAAAAAATAATTTTCTATTGTTAGAGACTGAATGTTTGTGTTTTCCCCTCCCCCTCTCCTCTCCCAATCGTTCGTGTGTTGAAGCTCTAAATCTCAATGTGATGGGATTTGCTGGTGGGCCTTTGGGAGGTAATTAGGTATAGATGAGGTCATGAGGGTGGGGCCTATGATGCTACTAGTGTCCTTTTGGAAGAGAAAGGGAGACCAGAGCTCTCTCTCCTGCGTGTGAGGACACAGAGAGAATGTGGCCAGCTGCAAGTCAGGAAAATAGGCTTAACCAGAATCGAATTGACTGGCACCTTGATCTTGGACTTCCCAGCCTCCAAAACTGTGAGAAATAAATTTCTTTTGTTTAAGCTATTAGTCTGTGGTATTTTATTTTGGCAGTATGCTCTGACTAAGAAATTAATCTTAAATACTTAGGCAAGCTTCTCAGAAATATATTCCTGGTTTACTCTTATATCAAAAGAAAAAAAAAAAAGGAAAGGGAAAAGTCACCAGTTAGAAAACGAAAAGGAGACTACTTTGTACCCGCATTCATAGGAAACAGCCAAACTCTTACTTAGAGAAAATGTATAGCCTTAAATACCTTCATTTTGAATCAGGGTCTTAGTCAGACTGGGTTGCTATAACAAAATACCACAGACTGAGTGATTTAAAAAACAGACATTTATTTCTGACATTTTGGAAGCTACAGTCAAGATCAGGCTGTCAGCATGGTTGGTCTGGTGAGAGCACTCTTCCTGGCATGTACACAGCTGCTTTCTTGCTTTGTTCTCACATGATGAAGAGAGAGCCCCTCTGGACTCTTTTCTTATTATAAGGACACTAATCTCATCATGCATGTCCCACCCTCATGTCCTAATTTAAACCTACTTACCTCCCAAAGCTCCCCTACTCCAGACACCATCACTTTGAGGATTAGGGCTTTAACATATGAATTTGGGGGTGACACAAACATTCAGCCCATAACAATCAGTAAGACAAAAAATAAGAAACTAAGAACTCCTTTTAATAATTAAAAAGAAAAGAACAATAAAGTAAACAAAAGAGGAAATTAAAAATCAAAATTAATAACATACATATTTAATACTTAGTAAGTTTAATAAAATGTAAGATATAACAAATGAGTAAATTAATATTTTTTCTTTCTTCGTTAGTTCAAAATTCAAAATTTTTTATTTGCATTTTGGTGAATTGTGTTGTGTACCTTCTAGGTTATAGCCTCAGCTTTGGGAACCACAACTTAAGACTATAAAGAAGCATATTTTTGTTTTGTTGAGCTTTTATACTGCTTTGAGGGATAACATATTCTAATGGTTCTGAGAATCTGTCTTGTAATTTCCTAAAGTTTTTTTGTTAATTTGTTTTGAATTTACATTGTTTTGCTTCTACTTAGGGTTCTAAATCAAAAACACAAAATATATTAAGAAACAGGTTCTAAGCACATGAGAGTTAGTTCTGTTCTGTTAAGCTTAGCCTTAAATCTACTGTTTTAATTTTAATATTTTGTTAATCCTCACTGAGGATATTTTTCCATTGATTTTTAGATAGAGTAGAAGGGAGGAAGGGATGGAGGGAGGGAGGGATGATGGGAGGGCAGGAGGGAGGGAGGAAGGGAAGGAGGGAGGGGGAGATTGAGAGAGAGAGAGAGAGACTTCGATTGGTTGCCTCCCACATGGATTGAACCTGCAGCCAGGTACTTACCCTTGATTGACAATCAAACCCAAGACCCTTCAGTCCAAGGGCCAGTGCTCTAGCCACTCAGCCAAACTGGCCAGGGTTAAATCTACTGGTTTTCAACAGGTGTTCAGGGAGGAGTTATTATGCCTGGTGTCCTGATATTTTGTTGTTGTTGTTAGGCATTGTTACTATGGTCTTGTTTGATTTAGAGATCTTATTGTTGAATTATGGAATAGAATCTCATTTTTTTCCCCCATTTAAAATGCATTTTCACTGTGAACCTTGCTAATGTTGCAAATCTGAGAGGAATTTCTATTCTGTTTTAATATGGTGCTAATTTTCCCACAATAATCTCCAAATCACACTACCATTTTATAATTGAAAGTGCAATAGATTTTTAAAGTTCAAATGGATATTTAAAAAAGCACAATAAATGAAGATTCAATTTTCTTTTGATTTTACATTCTTAAATACGGTAAAAACTCAGTAGACTTTTACTAACCATCATATTTATTATTCACAGTTGTCAAAGCTGCGGGATGAAAAGTCAAGCTTGCAAGATCAGCTACATGACTTTGAAGATCGAATTAATGCTTTAACTTCTCACTTCAAAAATGTTAAACAAGAGTTCTCATTTACACAGGTATATAATGTTGAAATTCCTGTTGATTATATCATGTGTAGTCATGGAATATTTTCCATTGCATTTACTTTTACAGATATAATAGGGAAATTTAGTACAACTAAGCTATTGTGTACATCACTTTGAATTTGAAAGTAGGGAAAAAAGTCTTTGAGGAGCTTCCTACTGCCACCAAGTTCAAGAAATAATTAATTCATTTGAAAGGAGAAATCATCAGTCAAACATTCTAATATAATGTTAGGCATCAGATTGTATGAGAAAGGGTACAGTGATGAAGTGAGAAATGATGACTTAAGCAGAAACAGACCTAATATAAGACATAATAAGGTTTCTGTCTACTTGTAATTATTCAGCACAACCCACTGGGACCATTTTGAATGGAAGCAAATAGTCCTAACACTCAAGTAGCCCTTAGAGCACCATGATCTCTTAGCATAGTTTAAGAATTTAAATTTATGATAATTCTGAGATAAATGAAAAGTTAGATTATGTTTAGGAGACTATTTAGGGTAACTTGGGAAAGTATAATACATTTTAGAAAATTTATACAAATTAAAATTTAGGATAATTAATTAAAGCATTTGTTGTATGGATAATCTATGCATGTGTAGAACTTTATTCCCTGATGATGCCCAGCAAATCAGTCAGCTCAGCAAATCAGCACTGGAGAGTTTACTAACTTCCATTTCAAACTATTTTTTAAAAATTGCATCTACCACCAGTCAGAAATGAAAGATGCACTAAGTGAAATAAAGAATAATTTATAGGGAATCAATAGTAGAGTAGGTGAAGTTAAGCAAACCATCAATTTGGAATATAAGGAAGCAAAAAACACCCAATCAAAACAGCAAAAAGAAAAAAGAATTAAAAAAAATTAGAATAGTGTAAGGAGTCTCTGGTACAACTTCAAGCATACCAACATTCACATCATGGGGGTGCCAGAAGGAGAGGAGAGGGAGCAAGAAATTGAAAACCTATTTGAAAAAATAATGACAGAAAACTTCCCTAACTTGGTGAAGGAAAAAGACATACAAGTCCAGGAAGCACAGAGAGTCCCAAACAAGTTGAACCCAAAGAGGTCCACACCAAGACACATTATCATCAAAATGCCAAAGGTTAAGAATCTTAAAAGCAGCAAGAGAAAAGCAGTTTGTTACCTACAAAGGAGCTCCCATAAGACTGTCAGCTGATTTCTCAAAAGAAACTTTGCAAGCCGGAAATGAGTGACAAGAGGTATTCAAAGTAATAAAAAGCAATGACCTACAACCAAGATTACTCTATCCTGCAAAGCTATCATTTAGAATCGATGGACATATAAAGAGTTTTCCAGATAAGAAAAAGCTAAAGGAGTTCATCACCATCAAACCAGTATTATATGAAATATTGAAGGGTCTTCTTGAAGGAGAAGATGAACAAAAATATGAACAGTAAAATGGCAATAAATACATATCTATCAACAACTGAATCTACAAACAAAATGAGCAAGCAGAACAGAAACAGACTTATAGACACAGAACTTTTTGTTGCTTGCCAGATGGGAGGGGGCTTGGGGGATGGGTGAAAAAGAAGAAGGAATTAAGAAGTACAAAATTGTTGTTAGACTGATGAACCTCAAAGGGAAGGGGAGAGGGAGGGCAGAAAGAGATAAACCAAAGAACTTCAATGCATATATGCATAACCAATGGACACAGACAATAGTGTGGGGAAGGCAGGAAGGAGATGGGATTGGGGAGAAGGGAATCAATGGAGGAAGAAAGAGGAACATCCGTAATAAAAATGCATCTACCTTTCTTTGAAAAATTATGTAATTTTAAAAAATGAACAAAGTTATGTTTATAATACCAATTTGTTTATTTTTATTTTTTGCTCTTTCCACTCATATTTTTAAATTTCAGCATTTTTATTTCTTCAGTCATTAAAAATAGTTCATTAAGGTAAGGATTATGCATGTTATTTATTAAAAATTTAGACTCATGGATTATCGGTTATAAACATTTTCATCCTAATATATTTTAAAAGATATTTATCTTTTTTTAAAAAATTTAATTTATTTTTGTTACAGATGTTTCTCCTTTTTACCCCACTGATTCTCCCCTCCCCCCCCCCCTCCATCCTCTCCCCAGCTTTGTTGTCCATGTCCGTTGTTCATGCATACATGCATATAAGTTCTGTGGTTTATCTCTCCCCCGCAACCCCTCTTCTGGGGATAGTCAGTCTGTACCCCACTTCCACATCTCTGGGCCTATCCCATTCCTCAGACTGTTATGTTCATTATATTCCACAAATAAGTGAGATCATATGATACTTGTCTTTCTCTCTGTGGCTTGTTTCCCTTAGGATGACACTTTCCAGGTCCCTCCATGTCATCTCAAAGGATAAGAGATCTTTCTTTCTTGTAGCTGCATAGTACTTCATTGTGTATATGTACCAAAGCATTTTTATCCATTCATCTACTGATGGACATTTGGGCTGTTTCCAGATCTTAGCTATTGTAAATAGTGCTGCTACAAACATGGGGGTATATATATTCTTTCTGACTGGTGTATTCTTTCTGACTGGTATATTCTTTCTTTCAGGCTTCTTAGGATATATTCCTAGAAGTGGGATCACTGGGTCAAATGGAAGTTCAATTTTTAATTTTTTAAGGTAACACCATATTGTTTTCCATAGTGGCTGCACCAGTCTGCATTCCCACCAGCAGTGTACTAGAGTCCCTTTTTCTCCACATCCTCGCCAACACTTGTTATTTGATGATTTGTTGATGGCGGCCATTCTGACAGGTGTGAGGTGATACCTCATTGTTGTTTTAATTTGCATCTCTCTGATGATTAGTGATGTTGACATTTATTCATATATCTCTTAGCCATTTGTATGTCCTGTTTGGAGAGGTGTCTATTTAGTTCCTCTGCCCATTTCTTAATTGGGTTCTTTGTGTTCCTTTTGTTGAGTTGTATGAGCACTTTTCAATATATTGGAAATTAATCCCTTATCTGATATATCAGTGGCAATGATACTCTCCCATACAGTGGGTAGCCATTCCATTTTGATGATTGTATTTTGCTGTGCAGAAGCTTTTGAGTTTGATGTAGTCCCATGTGTTCATTTTCTTCTTTGTTTCTGTTGCTTTAGGTGATGTGGCAGTGAAAATTCTGCTGCCTATGATGTCTGAAATTTTGTTGCCTACATTTTCTTATAGGATTTTTATGGATTCATGAATCACATTTAAGTCTTTTATTCATTTTGAGTTTATTCTTGTGTAGGATGTAAGTTGATGGTCTAGTTTCAATTTTTTGCATGTAGCTGTCCAAGTTTTCCAACACCATTTATTAATGTGGCTGTCTTTACTCCACTGTATGCTCTTGCCACCTTTGGCAAATATTAATTGAGCATATTGCCTTGGGTTCATTTCTGGGTTCTCTGTTCTGTTCCACTGGTCTATCTGCCTGTTCTTGTGCCAGTACCAGGCTGTTTTGATTACAGTGGCTTTGTAGTATATCCTGAAATCTGGTAATGTGATCCCTCCTACTTTGTTCTTTTTCAAGATTGCTGTGGCTATTTGAGGTCTTTTTAGGTTTCATATGAACTTTTGAAGTATTTGTTCTAGTTCTGTGAAATATGTCGTTGGTATTTTGATGGGGATTGCATTGAATCTATAGATTGCTTTGGGTAGTATGGACATTTTAATGATGTTAATTCTTCCAATCCATGAACAAGGTATGTGCTTCCATTTTTTTATATCTTCCTCTATTTCTTTTTTCAATGACCTGTGGTTTTCTGCAAATAGGTCCTTTATTTCTTTGGTTAAGTTTATTCCTAGGTATCTTAATTTTTTTGCCACAATGGTAAATGGTATTGTTTTCTTAGTTTCTCTTTCTGAGAGTTCATCATTGGTGTATAAGAATGCCGTTGATTTCTTGACATTAATTTTGTATCCTGCCACTTTTCCAAATTCATTTATTATGTCTAGTAAATTTTTGATGGAGTCTTTGGGGTTTTCTACGTATAGTATCATGTCATCTGCGAATAATGACAGTTTTACTTCCTCCTTTCCAATTTGAATCCCTTTTAGTTTTTCTTCCTGCCTGATTGCTGTGGTTAAGACTTCCAATAGTATGTTAAATAAGAGTGGTGACAGTGGGCATCCCTGTCTTGTTCCTGTTCTTAAGGGAAATGCTTTTAATTTTTTCCCATTGGGTATGATGTTGGCTGTAGGTCTTTCATATATGGCCTTTATTATGTCTATATATGATCCCTCTATTTCCACACTGCTGAGCATTTTTATCAGAAATCGATGCTGGATTTTGTCAACGGCTTTTTCGGCACCCATTGATATGATCATGTGGTTTTTATTTTTCATTTTTTATCACATTTATTGATTTGTATCACATTTATTGATTTGTGAATATTGTACCAGCCTTGCATCCCTAGGATGAATCCCACTTGGTCAAGGTGAATAATTTTTTTGATGTGTTGCTGGATTCGATTTGCTAATATTTTGTTCAGGATTTTGGCATCTATGTTCATCAGGGATATTGGCCTGTAGTTTTCTTTCTTTGTAATATCTTTTTCTGGTTTTGGAATTAGAATTATGCTGGCCTCGTAGAACGAGTTTGTAAGTCTTCCTTCTTCTTGAATTTTTTGAAATAGTTTGAGGAGAATGGGTGTTAGTCCTTTTTTGAATGTTTGATAAAACCCCGTGAAGCCATCCGGGCCTGGGCTTTTGTTTGCTGCGAGAGTCTTGATTACATGTTTAATTTTTTCTGTTGTTATTGGTCTGTTCAAGTTTTCTATCTCTTCCTGGTCCAGTTTTGGGAGACTATGTGTTTCTAGAAATTTGTCCAGTTTGCTTAGATTGTGGAATTTGTTGTCATATAATTTTTCATAGTAGTTGTTAACAATCTTCTGTATTTCTGTGGTATCAGTTGTTACTTTTCCTCTTTCATTTCTGATTTTGTGTATTTGGGTTCTCTCTCTTTGTTTCTTGGTGAGTCTAACTAAGGGTCCATCAATCCTGTTTATCTTTTCGAAAAACCAGCTCTTTTTTTAATTGATCTTTGAATTGTTTTTTTTTGTCTCTGTGTCATTTATTTCTTCTCTGATCTTTGTTAGTTCCTTCCTTCTACTTGCTCTAGGGTTTTCTTTTTGTTTGCTTTCTAGTTCTTTAAGTTGTGAGGTTAGGTAGTCTATTAAAGATTTTTTTTTGCCTGTTGATGTAGGCCTGTAGTGCTATAAACTTCCCTGTCAGAACTGCTTTTGCTGTATCCCATAGGTTTTGTGTTGTTGTGTGTTCATTTTTATTGAATTCCAGGAAATTTTTAATTTCTTCCTTGATCTCCTCATTGACCCATTCATTATTTAATAACATGCTATTTAGCTTCCATATGTTCAAATGTCTTTCCATGTTCTTGTTGCAATTGATTTCTAGTTTCATGCCATCATGATCTGAGAAGATGCTTGATATGATTTCAGTCTTCTTGAACTTGTAGAGACTTAGTTTGTGTCCTAACATGTGGTCTATCTTTGAGAATGTCCCATGTGCACTTGAGAAGAATGTGAATTCTGTAGTTTTGGGGTGTAACTATCTGTAGATATGTATTACATCCATTTGGTCTAGTGCTTCATTTAGAGTCTCTGTTTCCTTGCTAATTTTTTTGTCTAGAGCATCTATCCAGTGATGTTAGCGGGGTGTTGAAGTCCCCTGCTATGATTGTATTGCTATTGATTTCTCCTTTGAAATCTTCCAGAAGATTTTTGATATATTTTGGTGCTCCTATATTGGGTGCATATATGTTTATCAAGGTTATATCTTCCTGTTGGATAGATCCTTTCAATATTATGTAGTGGCCTTCTTTGTCTCTAGTTATGGTCTTCATTTTGAAATCTACTTTTTCAGATATGAGTATTGCTATCCCAGCTTTTTTTTCCTTTCCATTTGCTTAGAAGATTTTTTTCCATCCCTTCACTTTCAACCTATGTGAGTCTTTTATTGTGAGGTGGGTCTCTTGTAAACAACATATAGATGAGTCATGAGTCATGCTTTCTTATCCAATCAATGACTCTGTCTTTTTATCGGAGCATTCCATCCATTTACATTTAAGGTGATTATTGATGTATTTATTTATTGCCATTTTTGTTTTTACTCATTATATTTTTCTTCCTATTTCTCCTGCTAAATACAGCAGTCCTTTTAATATTTCTTGCAGTGCTGGTTTGGTGCTAATATATTCCCTTAGCCTTTTTTTGGTCTGGGAAGCTCTTTATTTGACCTTCTATTTTGAATGATAGCCTTGCTGGGTAGAGTAGTCTTGGAATCAGATCCTTGTTTTTCATGACCTTGATTACCTCCTGCCATTCCCTTCTGGCCTGTAGTGTTTCTGTTGAGAAGTCAGCTGAGAGCCTTATGGGGGTTCCTTTGTAGGTAACCTGTTGCTTATTTCTTGCTGCATTTAGGATTCTCTCTTTGTCTTTAATTTTTGGCATTTTAATTACTATGTGTCTTGGTGTGGGCCTGTTTGGGTTGTTTTTACTTGGGGCTCTCTGTGCTTCTTGAACTTGAATGCCTTCTTCCTTCACCAAATTAGGGGAGTTTTCTGTCACTATTTTTTTGAATATATTCTCTATCCCTTGCTCATTTTCTTCTTCTTCGGGGACTCCTATGGTGCGAATGTTATTATGTTTCTAGTTGTCCCACAGTTCTCTTAAGCTGTCTTCCTGTTTTTTAATTGTTTGTTCTTTAGGTTTTCTGATTGGTTGATTTTTTTCTACCCTGTTTTCAACATTTCTATGTCTTTTCTCATGGTGCTCATGTCCTTACACATGCTTTGAGCTTCCTCAAGATCATGGCTCTGAATTCTAGTTCTGCTAACTTGTTTAACTCATGTTCAGTAGAGGTCTCTTGTTCTTTCATTTGGCTTTTGTTTCTGTGTTTTATTATTTTGGTTATCACAGTGAGCTTTGGAGCCTGCCCAATTTTTCCTGTGGGTGTTGGTATTCTGCTGTTTGTGGCTCCCTCTCCTGGGTTTTAATGAGCCAGGGAGGACCCACGTTACGCACCAATGTCAAGTCTTACTTTCCAGGTTTAAGTTGCTAGCCCATGGAATGGTACAGTTATCCTGTAGCTTTTTGCCTGAAGGCTATCAGTAGAGGTTATCTGAGAAACCTTGGTTTCTGAGTTGACTGAAAAACTTCCTCAGGTGCTCAGTGTAAGGGGATTTCCCGAGGGTGGGGCAGATGCTGGTTGTTAATGGGCCTCAGTTAGCATTTCAATGGCCACTGGGTGGGGTTGAATCTCTGAGGGAGGGGCCTCCGCCTCTCCTGGGAAGGAGTAAGATGACCACAGTCTTGCATGGCTGCAATTTAGCAAAAGCTCTGAGCTCCCTCCAAATCCCGAGTGTCCCCACACAGTTCCAGTCCAGTCTTCCCTCCCTCTGCTGGAGCCCAAGGTAAGTGGCTGCTGCTATTGTAGCCTCTGTCCTGGCTTTGCTCTGTGGTGCCGCTTGGGAGTTTAACCCGAGGGCGCCACTCCCAGGTAAGGCCGCAGCTCCCAGCTAAGGCTGCTACTGACAGCCGAGGCCGCTGCTCACAGCCGAGGCCGCTGCTCACAGCTAAGGCTGCTGCTTACAGCTAAGGCCGCTGCCAACCGTGGTCTCCCAGCCCCTCTCTTGCATCTTCGCAAACCTACCAGGATTGAGTCAGTGTCTCTGGTTATGTGGACCTCCAAGCTGCTTTCCTGTTGCCTTTTCCTGACTATCTGTCTTTATTTTCGTTGTAATTCCAGTTTGGTCCTGGGAGATAGTCTGTGTAACTTCCATTCACTCTGCTGCCATTTTGGAATCCTCTTAGTACCAATTTGTAATTAATATAGATAACCAGTTATTTCATGCTTTAAGAAGTCTTATTAGAAAGTTAAAAATTTAATGAACTTTTAAAAAAATACTCAAGGTTTTAAAATCTGATATGATTAATTAAGAAACTGTTAGGAACAACCTCTTTTCCTCAAGTTATTAAACTACCGAGATGGGAATTTGAGAGACACTCTTTGTAGGTATATTTTATTATAGTCAAATCTCAACTAGGGTAATAGAGACAAAAGACAATGAATTTCCTACAACATTCACAGCTTTAAAATGTAAAAATAATACCAATAGTGATAACTTTAAAGTACTATGAGATCAGTAGTCAACAAGTACCATTTTATTAAGTAAAATATAACACAAGGGCATGTTTGTATATTAATATAGTATAGGAAATATTTATAACCATCAGTGTTTACATAATTATTTAAAAATTATCTCTGTTAATTATGTGATCAATTATATAAACATCCCATTTACCAAGTAGTTTTTAGTCAGTTTTACTTCTTATTTTTAGGTAATGACTTAAATCTTTTTTCAAAACTTAATTAATTAATATTTTACAGTAAGCTAAGGTTAATTAATTTATTTATTTTCTTTATTGCTTTTATAGAGAGAGGAGAAGGGAGAGGGAGAGAGAAATAGAAACATGGATGAGAAAGAACATCAAGTGGCCGCTTCCTGCATGCCCCCCACTGGGGATCTGGCCCACAACCTGGGCATGTGCCCTGACCAAGAATCAAACTGGTGATTGGTAGATGCTCAACCACTGAGCCACACTAGCCAGGCTAAGGTTAATTTATAAGTTAGATCTTTGTAAGTCTAACTTTATAAACTTTGGTTTTCTGCAATTCCCTTAGACCAGTGGTTCTCAACCTTCCTAATGCCACAAGCCTTTAATACAGTTCCTCATGTTGTGGTGAGCCCCAACCATAAAATTATTTTCGTTGCTACTTCTTAACTGTAGTTTTGCTACTGTTAGGTCTTAGGCAACCCTTGTGAAAGGGTTGTTCGACCCCCAAAGGGCTTGAGACCCACAGGTTGAGAACCGCTGCCCTAGATCAACCTAATATCTATAAATTGCTGGCAACAATATTTTCTCCTAGCACATTCCATGAACTAACTCTCTTACAACTAGTAAACAACACTGACTACGCTGAATCACAAGTGTAATGTAGTGTAAGTTTAAGACAAGTAGAATGAATAATATGTAATCTAAGCATTTTGTGGGAACTTTGTTAAGTTTTTGTCTAATGGATTATTATAAATATTTTTTAATATTAAAATTTTAAATGTCTTTCTTTCTTGTATGTTTTTCTATAGTCTCTTTTCAAAGCCAGGGAGCATGAGATTGAAAGTGAAGAACATTTTAGGATCATTGCTGAAAGAGAACTGTGTCGAGTGCAGAAGGAAATCAAACGACTGGAAGATGAGATGGCTTCAATACGGGAAAAGAAAAGTGATAAGGAAGTATGTGATGAAATGCTACTTAAAATTTTGTGCCATTATTCCTGCTTCCCTCACCAAACAAACAATGACTTATTTTTCTGTATGGAAAGGACATTCATTAGTTTCCTGACATTTATGTACATGGTTTTTTTGGACAATAAAAGGCACATGGAGCTGTGATTTGAATGGAACAATGATAGAATATTACATTTATTTTTCCAATATTCATTTACCAAATACTCATTGAGCCTTACTATGTGCAGAGTACCATGTTGGTTGCCTTTTATACAACACTAGACATAATTTATTCATAAGCATGACCTTTTTAAAAGCCACATTAAAAAAATTTCACTTTTAATTTTGAATTTCATTCTTTGCAGGTTGGGGGTCGGAAGGAAGGTATTAATGAGGGAAAAAGGAGAAACATCTGTAACAAAAATAAATTAATTAAAAAAACTTTTACCTTTTATATTGACCTATCAGCTTGTGACTAATATTAAACTGTTGTACCTATTTTTTTCTTTTCCTTAGTTTTTAGTTACTTGACTTGGGTACGCTTTCCAAATTCGATTTTTCTCTTTACATATGTATACGCATATGGAAATGCACACATATGTATGTATACGTATACATACACATACACACATACATATTTTATTACATTTATTTGTATTTGTTTGTATATTCTTCAGTTTTTTAATGAATCTATATTTGTTAAATGAATACATTTACAGAAATATTTTTATCTTCTTAACGGCTATATTTATTTCAATTAGAAGTGCTTCCATAATTTCTGTATAAGAGGCCTCTCTGAGGCAGCAATCTGATTTGAAATGGGGCTGAAAAGGACTTGTCTTGGGCTTGAGTTAGCATATCAAGCACATTATTTTTACTAAGATTGCACATTCACTTGGGGCAGCTATGGTGGAATGACTAATGAGATTGCTTTCAGGGAACCCTAAAGCCTTTGAAAGCAACTGCTATTCTAAACTTTGTATAATCGTTTCTCCTCTATTTTACAACTAAAGAATTAAAATACAAGTATGATAGTTATATAATTAAATGTGTGATATTATATTCATCTGGCAGCCAGGGACAGGATTTCTCTTTTCGTTTTTTATATGTTCTATATAGTATGTAATGTTATGTTTTATTTTAGTTTGTATAGTAAATAATGTTTTGTAATCTTCCCCTACCCCCTCTTTTTGGATACTAGAATAACATATTTAAATTTACTCAAAAATTGGATGGTTTGAAAAGTCAGATGAACTGGGACCAGCAAGCACTGGAGGCCTGGTTAGAAGAATCAGCTCACAAAGACAGTGACGCGCTCACTCTTCAGAAGTATGCACAACAAGATGACAATAAAATTAGGGTGAGAAGTTAGAAATTGTAATGTTAAGTTTTCTCTGAATCTGTAGTGTGTCAACCTTTTTATCTAAATCGAACTTAGATTTAGATAAAATCTAATCATTTTTTTAAATCTACTTGTAATGAAATCTGGTAATACCTTAAAACTATGAAACACACTATTTTTTGATAGACTTAATACCAAATACATTCTTTTAAATGGAAAATTGTTTAATCTTTTTTTCTAATATACTTTAAAATGTATTGAAAGTCAAACTTCAGAGAGAAGGGGGTGGGAAGGCGGGAAGAGATAAACCAAAGAACTTATATGCATAACCAATGGACACAGTATGGTGAAGACAGGACAGGGGAGTGGGGAGGAGGGTGTCAATGGGGGAAAAAGGAGGGACATCTATAATAAAAAAATAAATTAATTTTAAAAAACAATAATTGAGTTTTCATTGCAACCCTTTGAGGTTAAGATATATTATATATACATATATATGTTTTAAATATCAAATAAATGTATATCTATAATATAATAATACTTAATGTGAGATAGGCTAACAGCTTTTAAGTTAATCAAATGATAATCATGAATATTTTTGCATGTGACTACATAGGCACTGACCCTGCAATTAGAAAGACTGACTTTGGAAGGTAATCAGAGAAGAAAGATACTTGACAATGAACTTACAGAGACTCTAAGTGCACAGGTTGGTTTAGGGAAAATTTTTATTTCTTAATTGTCAAAGTAATGTTTGCAAAAGCACTTATAGTCATAGAAATGTTATTTGCTCTCTATTTGACAGTTAGAATTGGATAAAGCAGCACAAGATTTTCGTAAGATTCATAATGAAAGACAAGAACTCATTAAACAGTGGGAAAGCACAATAGAACAAATGCAGAAAAGAGATCAAGACATTGATAACTGTGCCTTGGTAAAGTATTTGTTTAGTCTTTGCAATGTTTAGCTGTATTTATCTCTTTTGTATTTAACTCATTAACTTCAAATGTAAATCACATTGTTATTTGAAAGTCACATTTGTAGGAGATTCAGTAGTTATGGTAAATGTTTTTCAAAGCTGACTCTATCCATTTAGAAATGTGATTTGATGTATATTATTTATGGTAGTATAATGACAGAGACTAGATCCTGCCATCTCTGAAATGTGGAACAGGAGAAAGTTAACAGATAACGTTATTGTAGTGAAACCAATGTCCTACTTACACATGTTTGTTTAAGGTGCCTTGGATTTAACATGTGTGCTATCTGTGCACACAGTTACAGCAGGGAAATGAGCCTCACCGAGAGCCAAGAGACAGGAGGGAGAGAGTCAGGGAAGCATCCAGGACTGCAATCAAGTTTCACTTTTGAATCTGCGACACCAAAACGGGGTAGAATCTTGTAAGGGGAGGAATACCACACTGAATAAATACAGAGCTAGTGTTATCTTTTGCTACTTTCCAAGGTAATTTGGAACTTTTTTGGGAATTCACTAAGAGGTAAAATAGTGGTGAGTAAAAATGGAAGATTAGGGAAAGCTGGGAAAGAGAAGGGATTGAGGAGGAAAGATGACAGATTGAGAAGATGTGGCAACATTCTCAATCTATTCCATGGAAAGGCATTTGGCAAGCAGCTCCGATCACCGAGTTAGAAATTCTGAAATCTGGATGCAGTTTACTTGTTATATGTAACTTGTTACATGAAAATATGTCATTCTTTTACTTTAAATTTCTGTTAGTGACCAACATTTTATCAACAAAATGGCCAGTGCTTCCCTAGGAGGGACAAGGGAGAGCCAATCTTAACTATGAGTTTCTCTTAATTCTTAATGCTGATGCTGGCTTCTCTTTCTTGACTTCTTATTACTTTCAAACATCAAGCCCTAAACTACTTCCCCTGTGTAAATTAAATGTGCCCAATTTAAGACTGCAGTTCCACAATCAAATTCTCATCAACACCACAGTCGAATGGACTCAGCCTGCTGATTTGGCAGAATACACAGCTTGTCATATTCACAGTGCTTCCTTACTCACAGGTTGGTATCTCCTTGCCGTTTGTATTGTAGGAGTCTGGGGAGGGTGCTGAGAAGAGGCTGCACAGGTAGAGGTATGCTTCTAAGTGTTTAACGACTGGCTCCCAATCTGGAGCTTTTCTGATTTCTGTGGTGAAACTAACTGTGTCCGTACTAACATGACTTCACCGGACACAGTGTTGAGGAGATGTGCGAGTCAGTTGTGGTGAGCCAGTGAGAGCCGTTCACACCACCAGAGGATTGAATCCGAGATTGGACCCTTTTGCTCCTTTTCCTCCAAAACAATTCCTGCCTTCTCAGTATCTTCTTGGTGGGAGTCTGACCATAGAATCCTGAAATAAGCTTCTTAAAAGAAACTTTTACATTATTTAGAAATATTTTTCTACTATGCTTTTATTCCAATGTAAAAGCTTTGAGATATTACTTACAAGCATTATGTATATGAAAAGTTAACTGTGAATAGATAGCACTGTTAAATAATGTGAACATTGAAGTAGGTATGAAGGCATTTGATTAAGTAATAGAAAAATGAATATAAGGCAGGAAATTTTAGGATGATCATTTGCCATATGTAAACCTAAAAAGTTTTGACCTGTTCTTTGGTTGAATGAACACAATAGACTTATAGAATACTACAATTATAGAATGTTATTTGTCATAGAGAACGTATCGGAATATTAGATGAAACAAATTAAAAATGTTTTTTTAAATGTAGTACATCTCAAATATATATCCATTTAATATGCTAATATGTATAATTTACATGTAGCATTTCTAAAACTTATTGATTTCAGACCAATATCTCTCCCAATCCCATCTCCTGGGATTAGTTGTTTGGTGGGACCCCATTTTGGAAAACTTGAAAGAAAATGTATTTTAGGGTCAATTTTTCTTCTCCCTCCAATTCATCCATCATATTGCAATAATAATCACTTGTAAAAACTGCATATGATCTTTTTATGCCCCAGCTCTACAATTGCCTTTGTTCCATATTGCTTAAAAGTTGACCCTCTTGCCCTGGCTGGTTTGGCTCAGTGGTTAGAGCGTCGGCCTGTGGTCCAGAGAGACCTGGGTTCGGTTCCTGCTAAGGGCACGTACCTCAGTTGCAGTTTGTCCCCGGCTCTGGTTGGGTCGTGCGGGTGGCAACCACCCGATGTGTCCCTTTCACGTCGATGTTTCTCTCTCTCTCTCTCTCCCTCTCACTCTATCTGAACAAAATATGGAAAAATGTCCTCAGGTGAGGATAAAAAAAAAAGTTGACCCTCTTTAACATGACAATTGAAAAATTGAATTTCTCACCATGGATGGTTTGGCTCAGCACAGCTGTTGGAGTGTTGCTCTGTGGACCAGAGAGTCCCAGGTTTGGTTCCTGCTAGGGCCGCGTACCAAAAAAAAAAAAAAAAAAAATTGAATTTCTCCACAGTTCGGCCCCAACCACTACCTTTTCCAACCACTACCTTTCTAGCCTCACCCCTTTCATCTGTACCCACCCCTTCTTAATATATCCCTATTTTATCTCTGCCCTCCCACCCTGTGCTTTAACCACATGGCAGTTTCTATGCATCTCCATTTATCTTTTTCGGCCTGACTTTAATTAAGCCCCTTAGATAATGCCTTTTAATGATTCCTCTTGGGTGGACCTTATTGAATAAGGCTTATTCTCTTTGTTCCTATAATACTTTGTCCATATCTCAGTTACTACTTCGTATATTCTATCACTTTTGTATAGCCAAGAACAGCAAAAAGCCCAAGTGAGGCATTCCTATTTAAAACCAATAACTAAAATGCTGTTCTCAAAGGATGAAACAAAAAACAAAAAACAAAAAACTGGTCCTGTGAAATATTTGGAAAATTTCATTGAAATTCAACTTTGTATGTGAGAAATAAGTACTTAACACTGTTATATTTTTAGATGTCACCTTTCATTTATATACAATTGCTATTTTCCTCATATCTTTAACAAAGTACCAAGTAGATGAAAGAAAATATAGAGACCTTTAAAAATATGAGCTTATTATATTTGGTGTATAGCATATTGATATTTTGTTTTAATTCATCTAAATATAGTCTCTCTTAAAGAATATTCTCTTAAGAAGTTGTGATAAAATAGAAAACTAAATATAATAATAGAAAAATAAAAACTAAATTCCTTTTAGTTTTTGTTTTGTTCATCATATTAAACATGTATTTAACTTTTTTTGTTTTTTTTCAATCCCAGGTATTAGCAAAGCTAAAGCAGGAAACAAGAGAAAAAGAAAGTTTGGTTAAGGAAAAGATCAAGTTTTTGGAAAGTGAGATTGGAAATAACATTGAGTACGAGAAAAAAATTTCTGTTGCTGATCGTAAAGTTGTAAAATGTAGAATGGAATATCAGCGCCATGAAGCTAATAGAAATCAGCTGAAGGATGAGGTAGGGCAACTAAAAAGTCTGGTTTGTGCATTTGTGACAAATTACTATAAAAATAAGCACAAAGCCTTTCCTTTGATTAAGGAACTGTCTTTTAATTCTTGTTTCATCCCTTCATGTTGTAGAACTTTGAGGATATTCTGATGCAGCCCGATTGAAGGCGTCGGGGTGCCATTCCCATCACAGGTGGTGTTAAGGGCTCCCCCTGGAGTTGGGCAGTGCCTAACATGCCTGTCACACTGGGTCTAGACTGGAAATCATAATTATGTGATAACTGGCAAATGGGAAAATGTGAAAGTGAATATTGATATTAGTGATAACTTGAAGTGTCTTTCCACTGCTACATGTGTATGGTGGTTTAACTCTTCAATTCTCAGTAGGGCTACCTGTTTTAAGTTCAGTTTCTCACCTTGTTAAGGGATACATTTCAGTTTGGTAGTGGGACAATGTAGTGGTCAAATACCTTGAAACAGACTAAGAGAGAAGAAAACTTCTGTTTTGTTCTTCTTTTGCAACATGCATGCTAACTAGATTATTTGATGGGGAGAGGTAGCAACCCTCTTAGTTAGCAATAAAGAGATCTTTATGAAATTTATGTCTTAAGACCATATTATCTGAAGTTAACAGTGTTTAGGTGGGAAATTGGAATATTGTAGAGCATTGTATTCTATAAGTCGTTACGCTTTTTATTTCTGATAAAGAAGGAAAGATATTTCTTCTGCCCAAAGAGAATAATTATAGAAGATCCTAAAAAAAAAAAAGTAAAATAAATGAATTTCTTGCCTAAGTTAAATGTCACTGCTAATAACTCATTTTTAAGCATTTTAAAGTTTAAACTAATTGCATAAAAGAATGCAGGGATTTCTTCATTCATTCATTCATTCATAATTTGTTTATTGAGATATAATTCACATATAATAATTCACCTTTAAAAGTGTACAATTCAATGGTTTTTATTGTATTCACAGAATTGTGCAACCATCACCACCATTTACTTTTGTCAGTCTAAAGAGAACCTCCACACCCATTAGTAATCACTCTCCTTTCCCCTGTCCAACCAGCTCCTGGCAACTATTAATCTACTTCATGTCTATGGATTTGCCTGTTTTGGATATGTCATATAAATGAAATCATATAGTATGAGGCCTTTTGTGTCTGGATTCTTTTACTTACATAATATTTTCAAATAGTACTTTATTCATTTTTTTCCTCCAAATTTTTTTATTATGGTAAAATACACATAGCATAGAATTTACAATCTTAACCATTTTAAGTGTACAATTCATTGTATTAAATACATTCCTAATGTTTTGTTACCATCAGCACCATCTATCTCCATAACTTTTTTTTTTTCTTGTAAAACTGAAACTCTGCCCATCAAATAGTAATTCCTCATTCCTCCCTCCCACCAGCCCCTGGTAACTACCATTCTATTTTGTCGCTATGATTTTGACTACTCTAAGTACCTCATGTAAGTGGAATCATGCAGTATTTTGTGACTGGCTCATTTCACTTAGTATAATGTCCTCAAGATTCATTTATGTTGTGGTATGTGTCAAAATTTGCTTCTGTTTAAAGGCTGGATACCATTCCATTGTATGTATACACCGCATTTTGTTTATCCATCTGTCCATGGGTACTTGGGCTGCTTCCACATTTTAGCTATTGTGAATAATGCTGCTGTGAACATGGGTATACAGTCACCTCAGAATTGCTGGATCGTATAGTAAAATTCTATTTTTAATTTTTTGTGGAACTGTCATACTGTTTTCCACAGGGTTGTATCAACAGGGTTAATTGCTTCACATTCTCACCGATACTAGTTGTATTATTTATTTATTTATTTATTTATTTATTTATTTATTTATTTATTTAATTTTGCTAGTAGCCCTCCTAATGGGTGTGAGGTGGAATTTTATTGTAGTTTTGATTTGTGTTTTCCATGAGCATCTTTTCATGTGGTTTTTGGATATTTATATATCTTCTTTGGAGATTTGTCTATTCAGGCCCTTTGCCTAGTTCTGAATCTTTTGTTGTTGTTATTGAGTTTTACGAGATCTTCGTACATTCTGAATATTAATCCCTTATCACATATTGATTCGCAAATTTTCTCCCATTCCGCCTTTGCTTTTTTGCTGCGTGGATACTGTCTTTTGATGCACAAAAGTTTTAATTTTGATGAAATCCAGTTTGTCTATTTTTTTAATTGTACCCTGTGCCCTTGGTGTTATATCCAAGAAATCATTGTCAAATCCAGTGTTGTGAAGTGTTACTCTAATGTATTTTAAACACATATATGTGGGTCTCTGTAATTTGCCAGTATTATACAAGTCATTTAAAACTTAATATTAGATCAGAAAGAAAAACTGTTAATATGTATAACAGCAAAATGGTTACTTTTCTTTCTGGAAGTGATGAAGGTTAGAAATGAAAGTGTTTCAAATACAACTTTTTGGAAATGAAATTAATTTATAAAATATAGAGTAAATATATTATTTCTTTCTGTTAACTGATGAATAGCTGGATTCTTTAAAAACCACTGTGAATAGAAGTTCCAGTGATTTAGAAGCGCTGAGGAAAAATATTTCCAAAATAAGGAAGGATATTCATGAAGAAACAAAAAGGTAAGAAAAAGATATTTAAATATGTTTATAGTTTTTGACTACTTCTAGAAACATAACATTTGTTTTGTTAAATAAATAACTATACAATTATAACTACTAAATTTAAAAATTTCACAGGTTTTTCATCACAAAGGCTTAGGAGCAATATTTTTATGACATAAATTTGTATTGGTAATAAAATGGTTTATGGTAAAAGTAACCTTCAAGTTATATGAAGAAATCACAGGACAAATTGTTTCTTGTTTGTTTGCATTAAATACCTGTAGACCTGTTTTCTGTTTTTTTTCATCATAAACCCCTCTCTAGGTTACACAAAATAAAAAATTCTAATGAGATTGCAAAAGACAAATTAAAGCAGATAACTGAGAAAACTATGACAGCAGAAGAGAAAGCTACCAATTTGGAAGATATGCTAAAGGAGGAAGACAAAAGTGTAAAGGTAAAGTTCAGTTGCAGTTTTTAAAAAGATCATACAAATTTAGCAATAGCGAATTAATTAGGCTCTTGAGATCAGAGGAATAGGAAGTCTTTTAAGAGGCTCTGCTGTCTGGTGTGATCACATTTGTAATCAGCATGGTTGGTCCTCTTTCTATTGCTTCTGAGGCTCTTGGTGACCTTCTCTCTTCTTAGGTTCCTATTTCTTCATTTGCTCTACTTTCAGCATTTGGTTTTGATGTCTTCTTTTAAAGGCAGCCCTGTACCTTCGATTCCATGCCTTCCTCATGCCTACTGTATCCACATCCTGCTTGGTCTCCATATATATATATATATATGCAAACACACCTTGGAAAGTGCCCTTGTTTTACAACTGATTTCTACATGATTGGCATCTTTTTTGTTTGTGGTCAAATTCCCCCCAATAGTCTACATTCATTACCTGTATTTCTTCACCATCTGCTACCACTATCTTTTCAGCCTCTTATAGTCTGGCATCATTTATCAGTAAGTGGACTCTTAACTTTACTGTACTCTTATCACTTTACTCACCCTACTGGCACCCCCCTTCTACCTTAATCTCTTTGGCATATTGGTAGCATTAAAGCCAATATTTGAGCCCTGGCCAATTTGGCTCAGCGGTTAGAGCGTCGGCCTGCTGTCCAGAGAGACCCGGGTTCAGTTCCTGCTAAGGGTGCGTACCTTGGTTGCAGTTTGTCCCTGGCCCTGGTTGGTTGTGTGGGTGGCAGCCACTCGATGTGTCCCTTTCAAATCGATGTTTCTCTCTCTCTCTCTCTTCCTCTCTCTCCCTCCCACTCTATCTGAACAACAACAACAAAAAGCCGATATTTGAGGAAGTGGAAAAGTTGGTTCACCATTTCCTCTTTGAAAACGTCAAAGTGACTGTGTGACCTGATACTGTAGACACTGCTTCTTGCTTTTATCATTTTTTGTTGTTGTTGTGGGGGCGTGTGGAGTGGGAGGTGGAGTGGAGCGGCAGCTGAAGATGGTAGCAAAATCCCCTATTTGCCAAAGTTTATTTCAAGGAAGGTTTTACCTATATTTAGATAGAATTGGCTTCCTCAGTGTGTTGTATGTTTAAAATTCCTAAGTTATGAAGTCATGAAACAGCATTGACTTTGGTGGTATTTGAGTCTAACATTATTATTTTTTTAAAGTTAATTTTTCCCCCTAAGAACATGATTTCTGTAGCACATGAGATGGGACAATATTAGAACTTATCAGAAATCTGTAAAAACTGTGAAATTCATATGAAATAGACTTTTTGGTGACAGAATGAAAAATTAATTTATGAAGAAATTAGCTGAATTAAAAAAAAATAAGTGTATTGATTGTGCAGGGTTGTGTTCATTTTGATATTTGTAACTGTTGGATTTTGTGTTTTTTTGGAAAAATCCCAACCTTATGTGTTTTTGAGATGTACCGCGTTATTATTCACCACCAGGCACTGACTTGAAATGTCTGCTAGGCAATCTTTGAGAAGGTCCTAGACCCAATGAAAATTGTCCATTATATGAAAATACAATGCATTTTATATGATTATATCAGATTATATTTCTTGATTTGTGAAAATTTAATTGTGCCAGTCACAGATGTCTGTTGTTCTATATTAAGATTCATCGGTTGCCAGTGGGAAATATGCTAATCTGGGTATAAGAGCACAGAGGGAAATTATCTCAGCATTTCAAAACGATAACATCTGTAGTGAGTCAATAGTAAAAAACAAACAAACAAGAAACCCAATAACTTTCAACAAATCATGTCATGATAGATCTGTTTGAAGCCGAGATAGATACATCTGTCGTGAAGCCTTGAGGTCGAGACCGATCTGCCCCCTGAGAAGGGAGCGGTGGGAACGGGGGATTGGTGTCGCCTCCTGTAAGGCTGCACATGGAGGGAGGCCAGCGGGAAACGGGTGTGAGTAAGAGGTAGTGCCGGTAGTGTGTCGGGGCCAGCCCTACAAGAAATGATAGTTACATTTTCCAGAATTTTGCAAGTTGGCTACTAAACATAGCTACTATTAAAAATTACATTATTATACTAAGCGAAATAAGCCAATTGGAGAAAGACAAATAGCACATGATCTCACTTATTTGTGGAATATAATGAACAAGGTGGGCTGATGAATGAAATAGATTCAGAGACATAGAAAGGAGTATGGTTCAGACTGACAGACCTCAGAGTAGGGGGGCAGGGGGTGATGGGTGAGATGAACCAAAGAACTTATATGCATAACCAATGGACATAGACAACAATGCTAGGGGGTGGGGAGATGGGATGGGGAGGAGAGGGTCTAGGGGAGAAAAAGGAGAAACATCTGTAACAAAAATAAATTAACAAAAATTGGAGAAAAAAATTTAAAAATTAAAATTACACTATATAGACTTACAATTATTTTTTTACTTATTTTTATTTTTTTATCCTCACCTGAGGACATTTTTGCATTTATCTTCACATAGAGTGGGAGGGAGAGAAGGAGGAAGAGAGAGAGAGAAACATCAATGTGAGAGAGACACCTGGAGTGGCTGCCACCCTCACGACCTCAACTGGAAGCGGGGACAACTGCAACCAAGGTACGTGCCCTTAGCAGGAACCAAACCCAGGCCTCTCTGGTCCACAGGCCAATGCTCTAACTGCTGAGCCAAACCAACCAGGGCTTACAATTAAATAAATTATATTAAAAACAAAAGTAATAGCCCTAGCTGGTTGCTTAGTGGTTAGAGCATTGGCTCACAGACCAAGTGTCATGGGTTTGATTCTTGGTCAATGACATGGACCTGGGTTGCAGGTTCAATCCCTGGCCCTGGATGGAGTCGTGTGGGAGGCAACCAATATATGTGTCTTTTTCACATCTCTCTCTCCCCCTCTTCCTTCCACTCTATCTAAAAAGTAATAAATACTCAGTACTCATCACTTCCAAATTATTTTACTATGGTCTATGCTTTTAATGTTACTTAAAGATTACTTTGTATAGAGGAAATACTGTGTAATGGTCTACTATTCTGTATCTCTTCCTAACTCTGCATTTAGTGGAATCATTTTAGTAGCTTGAAATTGGCTATAGTGGGAATATTTACACCATGAAAATCTGCCTCTCCCCCCTAATCTCTCATGCACTGGAAAGCTGGTGGTTAAATATTTACCTGCTCACCGGTGGATAGCGCCTCAAAGAAGGTGGGAGATTGAGTGGTGTGACTTCTTCCCTGCAACACCCTCAACACCTCAGTAAACTTTCTGAATTTATGTGCTGTATGTCTCCAACATAGTTTGTTTTCTAAGGAAATCAATGGAATGGCCAAATTCTAAGGCCAGAACTAAGATGACAGATCAAGGTACATGATACAGGAATGGAAAACTACTATTCTAGTCTACTAGAATAGACTAGGAGAAATGTTGGGGATTTGTTGAAATTGTCGAAGGCCTTTATATCTCAAGAGCTAAAATGTTGGGGGTTCATTTATGAGCCCCTAAATGAAAGTGTTTATAAAATAAAATATTTTAAGATATTATAATTTTATTAATTGCTATTATTCTTATCATCAGGAGGTGGAAGTTCAATTGAACATATTGAAAGGTGTGCTGTTTAAGAAAGTTCATGAGTTACAGACTGAGACAATGAGAGAAAAAGCTGTTGTGTCAGAAATCGAAGGGACCCGTTCTTCTCTAAAGCACCTCAACCAACAGTTACATAAGCTGGATTTCGAAACCTTGAAGCAGCAAGAAATTATGTACAGTCAGGTAGATGTTACTCTTACGAATATCTTCCATATTGATTTGTTATAGTTGTGATGGTCAAGATACTGAGTTCTGAGAAAACAAAGATTTCTAAGCACTCTTGCGGGGTAGACAGATATTGAAGATGGGATATCATGTTAGATCAGTAGAAGGGTGAGGGAGCTTACATGCTATTTTTTCTAGGTCTGAAATAAAAAGGTAAGAGGTTAGATGACTCTAGTGAGGGAGAGCCATGCTTTAAAGAAACCTGGGCAATTGAATGTAAAGTAGAACAAAACAAGGAGTTGGACATCTGAAGCCTAGAAAAACTGTATGTTGGTTCTTAGTTGTTCAGACATAGGATTTCCCATCCCCACCCCTAGATTAATAGGTTAAAAGTCTTTTTTCAGTTTTTCCTTATTTCTTTTATTACTTGTTCTTTCTCATTAATTTCTTAATGTCTTCCCTCTCAACATCTTAGTCTCCCCATCCAATACATTTTTAGTTTCTCAAAATTATAGATGCTAAAGTATAACTTTAAAAATAATTAATTAGAAGTTTTGAGTCTTTTATAACAACTTATGACTATAATTTTTTGCATCCCTTAGAAAATGTATCCTCAAAAATTTGTGTCCATGGCCCTGGCCAGTTTGGCTCAGCAGTTGGGGTGTCGGCCTGAGGTCCAGAGAGACCCAGGTTTGGTTCCCGCTGAGGGCATGTACCTCGGTTGCAGTTTGTCCCTGGCCCCGGTTGGGGTCATGTGGGAGGCGGCCATTCGATGTGTCCCTTTCATGTCAATGTTTCTCTCTCTCTCTTCCTCCCACTCTACCTGAACAAAAATGGAAAAATGTCCTCTTGTGAGGATAAAAAAAAAAAATTGTGTCCATGTATATCCAGTGGGTTTACTGAGGTTCCATCATGGTAGTACAATAAAGAGCTCCGTATATGACTTTGTTATATTTTCAGATTACTTATAAATCACTATCATGGACTCTGATTGTTGAAGAATAGGGTGTTGTTTCTCCCTTTAGGGTAAGAAGGATTTTATCCTGTAAATTACTGAAGGCTTAAGATGACTTCAGTAAATGGTGACACCCAGGCTGACTCATAAGAAAGTCTTTACCATATCTTTATAGTTATAGAAATGGCTTTCACCATTTGTTTCTCCTTACTAACTTATTTTTTAAAACTGTAACAGGATTTTCACATACAACAAATGGAACGCCGAATGTCACGGTTGAAGGGAGAAATTGATTCAGAAGAAAAACAAGCTCTTGAAGCAAAAATTGTTGAACTTAAAGGGACATTGGAAGAGAGAAAATCTACATTTGGCCTTTTGGAAACACAGATCAAGAAGCTTCATGTAACTTATCCAAAACACTTTCTATGCCTCAAATATGCTAGTTGTTAGTCATTGTGTTTTAAGAGAACATGTTCCAAAGACTTCACTTTGGATAGATGATTGCCAAGCTGCCCACATATATAACAAATGTATGAACTGTTACCCATATTTTTATCCTGACTATAAAAATGTAACATTACCATTGATTATGCATTTACTATATGCTAAATATATCATATGCCTTTAGTATTTTATTTCACTTAATCCTTATGAATAGGGGAACTTGTGAGGAAGATAATATTATTATTTTACAGATTAAATAACTTGTCCACGGTTATACAGCTAGTACATGGGGAGCTAGGATTTGATCTCTGGTTTATGTGACTTCCAAATACTCTTCAATAGTACATGATTTAAAACATTGATAAATTCCAGTTTTCTATTATACATTTGCTGTAATAACTTGATTGTCCTTTATGTATGAAATAACCTCTAAAAGAAGCTGCTCGTTATGGGTCTTCTATTGTCGTTATTCAAATATTCACTTAGTTATATAATTCAAATAACTCGATTTTGCTAATAAGGTGGAAATATTCTTAATCTTTAGGTATATTAATATGTTTATGGTAATATAAAACTTATGTTAGGAAAACTTATGTAATATGAAACCTGTGTTCAAGTTTAATTGGAGAGTAAGAATGAAGGCATGAGAATATGGACCAGAACAGATGAAACACCAAAGGGTTCAATGTTTTTTAAACAGCTGGGAAGGCCTAGTGATGAGTGTCCTCTAGTGGCTATAAGAAGAATTGCCCTGAATTCCTTTGGGGCTGACAAAGAAAGGGAGTTACCAACTTTTTTTACATTAAAAAATTTTTATTTTATGATGATAAAATTTTGGTGTGGAGTAGTTTGTAGTCTGACGAAATATCTTTCTTTGCTATGTCCTTGGTTTAGTAGAAAAGAGCACATGTTTTGGAATCAGAAAGAATTGGTTTTGAGTGTCAAGTTTATATTACTGCTGTTTTAACTTTTTGGAGCCCTAGTTTACTCATCTATTAAATGGAAAGAATATTTGATATTATTTTAGAGTATTTTAGAGAATTAGAAGCAATTTATGTTGTGACTCAGTGCTTTTTAGCAGGTAATCAGTAAATGGCATTGTTTTAGAGTACAGTATAAGAATACTAATGCTATAGAAACATATGAAGGTAACCTGTGTATCTGAACATGTTTCTCGACCCTGCCTGAATTGTGTCTGTTTTGCTGTGGGGGGATGGTTCTAGTGTTCCCTTTTGGTCGATGGACCCTGGGGCTCTGTCCATCATGCAGTTGGCTAGTGCTTATGCCTATTCTAACTCTGGTTTTAACAGAGAGATGAATAACTTAGTAGAAATGCGAGTGATTTTTTAAAGATATTAAAGCTACTTATTCTTAACGAAGGTTGCTATCAATAGTAGCATGAGGTCGTAAAGTCATTCTGCAGTCCCTCTCCAAAGCTGCTTAATCTCGTATTTTGCGTGAAAGAAACTACTTTCTTCTGGTTGAAATTCATCTTAAACTTAATTATTTTTTGTTCTAAAAGTTAATTTTATGAAAACATATTTAATCAAAAAAATTCCTCTCACTGTCTTGCTGAAATTCTAGGTCTTGATATTCAGAGACGTACAGGCAATGAGAAAAGCAGAGGAGGGAAGGAGGGGGTAGAGAGGAAGTGAGAAAGAGACAGGAGAGGAGGGAGAGAGGAAGAGAAATAGATCTTGGAACTAAAAAGTTTTTGCTTTAGGTACCCAGAGGGGACTAAGCACAAACCTTGTTCTGGGTTCAGGGTAGGGGGAGGGATACAAACTAGTATAAAGTTAGAAAACTAGTATCTGTGTATGTATGATCCATTATGCATCCTATGGAGTTAGATCTTATCTAGCATTTTCCTCTCCAGCAATATGTGATTATATGATGATGATAATAATAATAATAATAATAACTATAATAATACATGAGGTTTCTATATATTAAGTGCTGTTGTGCATACTCCTTACCAGTAATTTATTTAATCCTTACGAGAACCTAAGGAAGTGGGTATTGTTATCGTCTGATTCCAGAGCTTGTACTGTTAACCAAGACACTATGCTTTCTCACACTGTTAATGTTTTTACCTTCTGGGACTTCGGTTGAATCAAATAATGAACCATGTGTTGAACCAAGGCTTTGGTTAGAGTATAAAGAATAAGATTTAAACAAGTCTGGTTATTATTAATATTTAATGGAACATATAATTTAATGTAAGATATTTAATTGTATATATTTAATATTACTATTTAAAAGTATATTTATGAACCTATTTTCTTTTCACAGAATGATCTATACTTTATCAAGAAGTCAAACAGTAAAAATCATGATGAAAAACAGTCCCTCATGACCAAAATAAGTGAACTAAACTTTTTCAATGACAGATCAGAGAAGGAACTTAATAAGGCTCAAGCTTTTAAACAGGTAAAGTAAAATTATATGGGTATATAATATTAAAAACCACATGTTTTCAGGCTGTTTATTGAAAAATTTAATTATTGAATAATTATTGAAAAATTTAAAAATACAACAAATTTTTAAAAAGACAGTAAGTCACTATAATTACTGTACATGAAATAGTGTTAAAGTATATTATTTCCTTCCAGTTTCAAAGAAAATATGCCATCTATCTATCTATCTATCTATCTATCAATCATCTATCTATCTATCTATCTATCTATCTATCTATCTAGTATTTAAAATTTGTTAATGTATTGTACATGTTTCCAAAACATTAAATATTCTATTTTTCTAATTCTCACCCGAGGACATTTTTGCATCCATCTTCAGATAGAGCGGGAGGGAAAGATAGAGAGAAAGAGAAACGTTGATGTGAGAGAGACACATCAAGTGGTTGCCACCCACACAACCCCAACTAGGGCAGGGGACAAACTGCAACCGATGTACGTGGCCTTAGCGGGAACCAAACCCGGGACTCCCTGGTCCACAGGCCGACGCTCTAACCACTGAGCAAAATCGGCCAGGGCAATATTAAATATTCTTTAAAAATATTTTTGAAGTCTTCCTACACTGCATGAAGTTACTATAATTTATTTAGCCATCTCCTAGTTTTTGGATTTATGTTTGTTTCCAATGTTTGACTATTTTAAATAGTATATTATCATGCTTTGTGCACATATATCAGTGTAAAGTTGTTCAGTTAGTTACTTAGGAAAAATCTCTCGCTGTATAACTAAGGTTCAAAAAGAATGAATATATTCAGTGTCTTGAAACTATTTCAAAGCCAAATTGTCTCCTAGATGGTTAAATTAATACTTCAGTAGCAATGTGTAAGCATTCTAGTTTACTTACCACCGCATCAAAGTTGGATCTTATCGTTTATAAAATTATTGTCAGTTTGATGGTCAAACATGATATCTCATTGTTTTTAGTCTGCTTTTTAAAAATTGATAACATTTTGAAACATTTTATGTTTAAACATAAAATTTAAAATATGTTTAAATAAAAATGTTTAAAACATTTTTTATTATACTGTGTTCCATAATTTTTATTTTTGGCTTTCTAGTTTATGTTATTGGCCCATGTTTCCATTAGGAGGTTTATATTTTTATATTGCTTTGCAAAAATCTTCAGATGTAAAAACACTAATTCTATCATAAATAGTGCCAATATTTTTTCATTTGTCTTTAAATTTTTATTCAGTTTTTTACTTTAAAACATTTTAAACATCAAACATTTAAGTGCTTTTCCCTCTATAATTTTTATGCTTAGAAACTTCTTTGTCACACTAAAAATCAAACAAATGCGTTCTATTTCTTGTAACTGCATTGGTTTATGTCATGCATTAAATTTTTTCATTCATCTGGAATTTATTTTTGGTACATATGAAATGTAGGGATATAATCTTTTCTCTCCAAATGAAAAACTATTTTTGAAATACGTAGTAAAAATCTTATATTCTGGAGTGTTTGTTTCTGGGCTTTCTATTCTGAAAATTATCTGTTTGTGTACTATTATTTATCAGCACTCTATTCATGATGGAATTGTTTTAAAATAAAAATTTACTTACATATTACTCCATGAGATGTAGTTTAGAAAATAAAAATGTTCATTCATAGAGCTTTATATATTTTCAGGATATTCTGAGTTTCAATTTCAGGAATAATTTCTTCCTTTCGTTTTTTTTTTTTTTTAGTGAAACTTGAATTTAAGATTGGATTATAATAAAAGACTTGGAATAGCCATAAATTGTTAGTTTTCTTTTTGTTTTTTTAAGTGAAAAGGAAAGAGAGAAAAAACCAGAGTCATGACTCAGAGCAATCTAAATCAATATCTTGGTCAATGGTCAAATTAGTAAAAGTTATATTTTCGAGTTTGACTTTTGTAGCAATAATAAAGAAAAATATTTTGGTTTGGGTATAAAATAATTATTTCAGTATTTGACAATATTGTTATGTTTGTAGGATTTGATGATAGAAGACAATCTTTTAAAACTTGAAGTTAAACGTACTCGTGAAATGCTTCACAGCAAAGCAGAAGAAGTTCTTTCTCTGGAAAAAAGGAAACAGCAATTACACACAGCTATGGAAGAACGAACTGAAGAAATTAAGATTCACAAAACAGTGCTTGCATCACAAATAAGATATGTTGATCAACAACGGCAAATTGTAAGGTAATAATTAGAATTTTCACCCACTGCTAATGAATTTGGAAAACATAAAGGTGATGTCAGAAGAACTGACTGCTCCTTCTACCACCCTGGATGTCCATTGTTTTCTTACTCATTTGAAAAGCCTTTTAATATAATATATAGGACATATTTTAGCCATAAATCTGTGCTTTTTCTTCTCTCTCCTTTGACTAACTCCTCATTCTTTAGATTCTCCCTTTTACATTAAGATCATCAATTGACTTGAAATTGATTTTTTTGTGTGTATTGTGATAAGGGTTTATTAACACGTTTCCCTTATTCCTACCTAATAACTGTTGATTGAAGCAAATGTTCCCTAGAGATTTTGCATATCTTTTATAAGATTTAATCCTTGCTACATGTTATTATTTTTTTTAATGTTACTGTCAGTGTTACCTCCTTTTAAAATATTTCATTTCTGGTTTGTTGCTGGCATATAGAAACACAGTTGATTTCTGTATATTTAGTGTCAAGCAACCTTTCTTCAGCTCTTAATCATTCTAATAATTGATCTAGATTATAACTTCTATGTATTGCACTCAAATCGTTTGCAAATAGCAGTTTTTTGCCTTCCTTTTCAATCTTTATTCCTTTTGTTTTTCTTGTGCTATTGCCCTTATTGTCTAACCTCCAGCTCCCTGCTGAGGAGCAGTGGTAATTTCAGGTGACTGTGTCTTGTGCCTGATCTCACAGGGAACGTTTTCATTGTTTTATTATTAACTATAAAGGTTAGTGTTTTTTGAGATACTCATTACAATATTAAGGGCATTCTCATATATTTTCATTCTTTGCTAAGAGATTGTTTAATCTGAAGTGGATGTTGAATTTTATTATATGCTTTTTTTCTGCATTGGTTGGTATGTTGCTCCTTCAGTTTTTCAATATAATTAAATATATTGATTGAATTTTTTTAAAAAAGTTAAACAACCTTACATTTTTGGTATAAACACAGCTTGTCTATCACATGTTGTATTTTGTATACATCTAATTTTGGGGAGGTAATGTTTTTATACAATTTTTAATCTATGCCTATAATTCTCCCTTTTCTACAGCCCTTGTCAAGTTATAAGGCTATTAAAGTTATGTCTACTTCTACAAAATGATTTTTTTTTAATCCTCACTTGAGGACAATTTTTGCATTTATCTTCAGATAGAGTGGGAAGGAGAGGGGGGGGGAGAGAGAGAGAGAGAGAGAGAGAGAGAGAGAGAGAGAGAGAGAGAGAGAGAGAGAGAGAGAGAGAGAGAAACATCGACGTGAGAGAGACACATTGAGTGGTTGCCACCCACACGACCCCAACCGGGGCCGGGGCCGGGGCCGGGGACAAACTACAACCGAGGTGCATGCCCTTAGCAGACCCAAACCTCTGATCCATGGGCTGACGCTCTAACCAAGCAGCTAAACCGGCCAGGGCCCAAATTATTTTTTGTGTGTTTCTTATTTTGCTGTATTCTGGATAAGTTTGTAAAAGAGTAGGACTTTTCAAAGGCCTCACTGATGAAGCCCCTGGCAGCCTGGAGCTTGGTGAGGAGGATTTTTAGCTGTTGGTTCAGTTTATCTGTTGGTCATAGGACAGTGCAGGTTTTATATTTCTTCTTGAGTCAGATTTGGTGAACTATATATTTCCCTAGGAAACATTTTCCATTTCCTCTAATTTTCGAAATTATTGCCATAAAGTTGTTCGCAATATTTTATTATTTGTTTCACAGTTGCAGAGTTTCTAGCATTTCATTCTCGATTTGAGTTATTTGTGAGTTATCTTTTTTGGGTGGGATAAGTCTCGCAAGTAACAAATTTTATTGCTATTTGAAAATAATCAAATCTTGCTGATTTTTTCCTATTGTGAATTCATTTTCTGTGTTATTAATTGCTGCTCTCACATTTACTACTTTTCCTTCTATTTTCATGGGCTTATTTTGATTTTCTTTTTCTGACTTCTTGAGAAAGATGCTTAGCTAATTAATTTTCAAAATTGAAGGCTAAAGCAGTTCCCTTATATATTACTTTAGCTGCATCCCACACAATTTTTTATAAGGGCCAGATACGAAATACGGGTTTTGCAGGCCATGTGGTCTCTGTTGCAACAACTTAACTCTGCCACTGTGGAGTAAAAGCAGCCATAGACAATATGTGAATAAATGAACGTGGGTGTGGCTATGGATACTGGATTTTGAATTTCATAGAATTTTCATTTTTCATAAAATATAATTTTTCTCATGATTTTTTTCAACTATTGTGTATTTAAAAATGCAAAAGCCATTCTTTGCTTATGAATTGTACTAAATCCGGACGCGGGCAGACACCCTGGCCCTTTATTGCCAAGTAATAATATCCCACTGTGTGCATCTACCCCAATCTATTTGCACATTTGCCTGTTGTTAAACATTGGCACTGTTTCCAGTTTTGGGCTGTCACAGACAAAGCTGCTCTGAACATTTTTTTTTTTTGGTATGAACATATGCTTTCATTTCTCTTGGGTAAATAACTAGAAGTGGAATATCTGGATCCTATGGTAGGTATTTCTTTTTGTCTTTCCATTTTTTTCATTGGTTTTACTGAATTTTGTTTTTCTTTGTTTTCCTCTTTCATTGTTTGGAGGATATATATTCTATTTTCAATTATTTAGTTGGTTATTCTTAAATTCAAAAGAAACTTTAATCTTTGATTTTTCTATGAATACTAAAATTAATTGATTTTATTATTTTTTCCTTCCCCAAAGAGGTTAAGACTCATGACACTTTTTACTGCTGTATTTCCTGTCCTGTCTTTCACATATTGTTGAAATCACTGATTATCATATTAGGTTATTTAGTGTTTTTAATATTATGTCTCTACTTTTAAAAGAACTGTGTTTTTGTTATTGTTGTTGTAAATCCTCATCCAAGGATATTTTTTTTAATTGATTTTTAGAGACACTGTAAGGAAGGGATGGAGGAGGGGGAGAGAAAGAGAGAGAAACATCCATGTGAGAGAGAAACATCAACTGGTTGTCTCCTGTACTTGTTCCCGACCAGGGCCAGGGATCAACCTGCAACCCAGGTATGTGCCTTCGACTGGTAATCAAACCCACGACCCTTTGGGTGCTTGGGCCGACGCTCTCGCCACGGAATCCCACCAGCCAGGGCAAGAACTGCTTTCTTACAACTTGCTTTGAACTATCGAGCCAATTGCCAGCAACAATTTCAGTTTAGCTGTATGTTTTACAGTTTAATATTCTCCATGGATCCTTTGTCATCCTATTGTTTTGGATTTCCATTTCATTTCTCTAGAGTATGTTCTGGAATTTTTTTTCATTATTAATGTTTTCTGAAATTTGCAAGCGCTTGCATGTTTATAACTTATTTATTCTACCCCATATTTGAATTAGTTGAATTTTGAAAGCATTGTTTCATATTCTTCTAGATTATAGTGTTTTTTATGAGAGGTCTGATTTCAAGCTAATTTATTTTATTTTGTAGGGAACTTGGTTTTTGTTTTCTTACTGGAAGCTTGGGGCCATCTTTTTACCTTGGAGTTTTAGAATTTCCCTGTATATGTCTGGGTGTTTTTGTTTTTTTGTTTTTTTTCTTGTTTGACCATTCATGAGCTCTTTCAATTATTACACTGAGGTCTTTCTTCAGGTCAGGAAAATACCTTTCTATTACTTATTTATTTTTTCTCATATCATACTCCATTCTACCCATTTGCTGCTCTTTTTAGTGGGTGTTGGTCTTCTTAAATCTGTCTTCACTTCCAGATTTCTTAACTTTTCTTTCATGTTAAATTTTCTATTCTTTCTATTCCACTTGTTGAGATATTTTCATTCTCTCTCTTCCTATCCCCTTCTCTGTCTCCTCCTTGTTCCTTGCCTCTCTGTCTTCATACCCCTAATTTAGTCTTTTTCTTTACTTGCTATATCAATGTCTCGTCACTATGTTGTATACCTGAAATTAATATTTTATATCAACTATAATTTAAAATTTAAATAAACAAGTAAAATTAAAAAGGGAAAATTATTTGAAAGAACTCTTTTTTCTTCAGTGGTCCTTTCTTTTCATGGCAGCCCAGCCTTGTTTTATGGTACTTTTGGATGCAGTATCTTCTCCTCTTTCAGTGGATACTCACTAGACTACTCTGCAAGCTCTCTCCTATCCCATGCATTATATTTGTTTCTCCTGTGGCTGTTCTGTCATTGCTCGTTTTGTTCTTTTTATTCATGCTGTTAGCTTTCCATAAATGTCGTATAGTCCTAGGCTTTCTGTTATATTTACTTAAAATGCTTAATTAATAATCATGGTGATTGGTATAGTGATCTAGTATGGGTTTCTTCTGTAATTGGGTAGATCTTTCTCCAACAGATCTCGACTCTAAATGGGAGGCTGATTGTAGGCTGTGGGCGAGTCTGTCCCTAAAGGAATTTATTCGGGGGCATGGAGACATAATTCATTCCTGGGTAGAACTGCCTTTCTTTCTTAATTAACCTCCACTGGAATGACATCATGCTCTCTCTCTTTTTTTTCCCAGCTCCAACATAAAATGCTAGAACTTTGGTAATTTGGAAGGTTATCATTGGAGCATAATTAATTCCTGTCAACATCCCTGTATACTTTGAGGGATTAAGGAGAGTGGCTAGATGTTCTGTAGGAAATTCTTTTCAGTTTTATTCATTACCTTGATAATAGCCTAAGATTACTTTTTCTCTTTTTATTTCTTATTCTTGAGTTTAGATTTTCTGCAGACTTCTTTGGTGAAAAATGGCTCTTATTTCTGCACTAATCTGTGTGTATCTTTATTTTTCCTGTCAATAGTATCCCATTTGTTTTTTTTCCATGAAGTCAGAGCCATGATTTGTTGTTGTTTTTTTATCCTCACCCGAGGACATTTTTGCATTTATCTTCAGATAGAGTGGGAAGGAGAGAGGGAGGAAGAGAGAGAGAGAAACATCAGTGTGAGAGAGACACATCGACTGGTTGCCACCCACACGACCCCAACTGGGGCTGGGGACGAACTGCAACTGAGGTACGTGCCCTTAGCGGGAACCGAACCCGGGACTCTCTGGTCTGTGGGCCGATGCTCTAACTGCTGAGCCAAACTGGCCAGGCTGCTGCTGTTGTTGTTTTTCTTATTCTTTTAGTCTTTTCCATTTTAGGAAAAGAGGAGAAATATACTTGTGCTCAGTCCACCATCTTAAGCAGGAAGGCCAACAAGCATTGTCTTTTATAGTCACATAAAGGATGAATAAATGTTTTCTGATGAAATAACAATATCACTTAAAAATAAGCAAAACTGTAACTTCTGATAGTAATATGTTTTACCATCGGTTTCCTTTAGGAGTAGGAGAATAGTAGGCTAAAGATGTCCTTTCACCGTGGTTGGATGGCTCCCTTTCATGTGGTTGTAGCAGGCAAATGTCACCCTCCATATTGCAATACATATATTAGCATTACTAGTATTGTTATAAAATAAGTGTAAAAGTTGTTCATAACATGTAAACTGACTGGAATAAAAGGAAAAATTTAATCAGCAGATTTAAGAATCTAAAACATGTGTTTCTCATGTTTCTGCATACCTTGCAAGGAGAGATACTAAATTTCCTGTTCTGGAATATCTTTAAAAATTTTTTTTGGCCCTGGCTTGTTTGGCTCAGCAGTTAGAGCCTCGGCCTGTGGTCCAGAGAGACCCAGGTTCGGTTCCCGCTAAGGGCATGTACCTCGGTTGCAGTTTGTCCCTGGCCCTGGTTAGTCGTGCGGGTGGCAGCCACTCGATGTGTCCCTTTCACGTCGATGTTTCTCTCTCTCTCTCTCTTCCTCTCTCTCCCTCCCACTCTACCTGAACAAAAAATGGAAAGCTTGGGTGAGGATAAAAAAAAATTTTTTTTTGGTAAAAATCATGTAACAAAATTTACATCTTAACCATATATCAGCATACAGTTTAATGATATTAAGTATATCTACATTGTTGTGCAAAGATCTTCAGAACTTTTTCATCTTGTAAAACTGAAACTCTATACCCAGTAGGCACTAACTCCCCATGTTCCCCTTCTCCCAGTCCTTGTTAATCACCATTCTTTCTGTCTGTATGAATTTGACTACTTTAGATACCTCATGTAGTGGTATTGTACAGTATTTGTCTTTTTGTGGACTGGCTTATTTCACTTAGCATAATGTCCTCAAGGTTTGTTCATGTAACATGGGACAGAATTTCTTTTTTAACACTGAATAATATTCCATTGTATGTATAGACTGCATTTGTTTATCCATTCATCTGTCTATGGACATTTGGGTTGCTTCCACCTGACTATTGTGAATAATGCTGCTTTCAACACTGGTATGTAGATGTCTCTTCAAGAAGCTTCTCTCAATTCTTTTGGGTATATACCCAGAAATAGGATTGCAGGATCATGTGGTACTTCTATTTTTAATTTTCTCTTTTCTATAGTGGTTGCACCATTTTATAGTCTCACCAGCAGTGCCTTAGGAGTTCCAGTTTCTTCATATCCTTGCCAATACTGTATTTTGTTTGTTTCTTTGACAGCAGCCCTCCTAATGGGTTGAGATATGTCATTGTGGTTTTAATTTGCATTAGACTATCATTTTTTAAATCCTTGCCTAAGATACTTTCCATTGATTTGGAGGGAGGGAGGAAGGGGAGAGAGAGAGAGAGAGAGAGATAGATAGATAGATAGAGAGAGAGAGAGAGAAACATCTACATGAGAGATACACATCGACTGGTTGCCTTCCAGGGCTCGGGATTGAATCGCAACCAAGGTACGTGCCCTTGACCGAAACTGAACCCATCACTCTTTGGTCCATGGGCCAATGCTCTAACTGCTGAGCCAAACCGGTCAGGACTAGACTATAATTTAAAAGACATTTGGATAGTGAACAGCCTCAGAATCTAAAGGGAGATCTTCCTCTGGAGCAAAGGTTAGGATTAGGCATGTTTACTTAATTCCTATTATAAAATATTTAGATTACCTAAGCTTCAGATTCCTCTGCTGTGTGTGCAGCATTCATTTGAACCCCTCCTCATCTGCATGGTACTTTGGGAACAAGGGAAACCAATGCAAATAGGAAGCTCATGCCATAAGTGATAAAATGCGTTTTCTATGACCCAAGAGTCTTGGGTCTTCTGCCAGCATCCATGAAACTGTGCAGGCTAACTTGTTACCTTTCATAAAGGGTTAAATCTGAGACCCTTCACACTGAACTATAAAATTGAAAAGTGAAGACATTTAATATGAGTACAGCAGTAACACAAATACAGCTGTCTTCCATAAGAACACTGTAGTCCTTTTGAAAAAGTATTTGCTTTTAGTGTTTAATTATTCTTTTTCTTTCCATATTAGTGCCGAATTTCATGACCGGCTAAATAAAATCGATAAGCTGAAGAACAGATATGAAATTCTTACTGTTGTTATGCTGCCTCCTGAAGGGGAAGAGGAGAAAACACAGGCCTATTATGTAATAAAGGTACTCTCAATCTATTTACAGTTGTGATAGAATGAAGTATCCTTTCTTTGTTAACAACCAAAATGGTATTTTTTTAAACCACGAATTTCAAATTTCATAGCACTCTAGTAACTGTTGCCCTTAATTAGGGCCACAAAACACTAGTTGCTAATGGAAGCACTGAAGCTCTGCTAGTTTTGTACACCTCCCGTCCCTGAGGTCAAAGAGAGGTCTGGACTACTCTTTGACACTTTTGTTTTGGACATTTTTGTGTCACGTCATTTCCCCTAATTTATTCAAGATTCATAATCTCTTTTACCCTGAGACTACTATCACTCTGGGTCTTTAGTACACAGGTGGCAATCTGTTCAACATCTCAGGCTCAAAGCTTTTACTTCACTATAGCCGCCCAGTCATATGGTCGCCCCCTAGACCTTGTCACCTGGTTACACCACTTCTGAAATCTTATACTCCAACTTACCACTGCAATCCTGGTATGGCAGATATCCAGAGGACGAGGGGCTGTCCCTTTGCCTTTATATCAGGTGGGAGACCAATGAGCAGGTGAATCTGCTCTGTTCTTTCTGATGTTTGAGAGTTGTCTGCTATCTCATGATTACCTTTACCTAGTAGCCCATAACGGAAAATGTAGAAGTGATTAGAAATTGGATGTAATTCCCTTCTTGAACACTACTATATATCTTTCCATGTAAAAAATACCCTGAATAGTTGAGATTTCCTTTACAGAGAAGTTTTAGAAATTATTTAAAACACCACAAAGGAGAAATGGAAACTGTAACTTTAACTCATTCTTCTTGTCTCATACATGGATATGAGGGCAGATCTCCCCATTCACATCCTTACAGAGGGGCCCTTGTGGATGCTCTCTCCCTTTTGACTCATACACAATCTTCCAAGTTTCTTTCTGTAGTTCTTTGAGGCTGTCCCTAACACGTACGCTAAGTATAACATCCTGGCACTTTGCCTCAGAAAATTCTACCTAACCAGTATGAGAAATGAATCCCAGCTCTCAAACCCTGTTTATAACTCATCAGTCTGTAGTACCTCAGAGTTCTGCCCAATATTAACAGGACTTCCCTCTTCTTAGGTTTTGAAACTTCCCAAGGGGTGAGGGGTTCAGCTCTACTTAAGTGTTGGGAAGTAGTTAGATGTTGCGATTCCAGTTAGGTTTCTCTACCAAGGGCTTGATGAGTTACCTAAAAGCACTGGTGTTCGTCGCTTTGTCTATATCTTGGTTCTGTCACTGACTAGGTAGGTGACCTTGAAGAAGTTATTTAACCACTTTGGGCCTTAGTTTCCTCACATGCAAAATACAAGAATGATAATATTGTTACTTTTGTTGTGAGAGTGGGAAAATATATATAAAGCCCTGAAGACAGTGCCTGGAACAAAAAGAGCCCTCAATACATGTTAGCTATAATCATTGATATTGCTGTTATTAATAATAATTCACTTCTCGGGAAAACAGGCACATTTTATGAGGAAGAGCCTTCCTTCAGTTCACAGTAAAGGTGCTAAACAAATGCCAGCATGTTAAATGAATCGAGGCTGTCCTACACTTCAGTCTCCTGATACCACACCTCGCCTCCAGGCTCCACAGCTAACCAGTTATCCATGTTTTTTGTGTATAGCATCCTTACATGTTTTATGCATAACACTTCACATGTGCTGCATGTGTAAAGATGAAACTATTTCTTTATAACTTAATGTGTCTTATGTTGAGAAAAACTAACCATGGCCTGAAAATGGGAAAAGCAGTCAGTGGGTGTGCAATGATGCCAATGCATCGTGACACCAGACTTGGCATTTTCTAATGGGCCCTCCGGGGATTTTCGGATTCTGTTGGAAGGTACACCTTTGACAGATTTTCTATTGACTAACCTATTTTATATCCCTGTAGGGACAGATGTTAACTTGTTGAAAACTAATAGTAAAGCATATGATTCTTGTCCACATGCAAATGAATTTTGGCTAGTAGAAATACAATTGACTTATACTCTATAGGAAAGATAACCCAAGCATTATATTTTATTGCCCTAAAAGGTATAGTTTCATATCTGTAAGCAAATTTATTTCAGCATTTCTGACTGTGTGTATATTAAATATGTTCCAATTCTCCTTTTGGACTTGTCTAAACATCTTACAGTTTCCTTCACTGATGAGTTGAATAACATCTTTGATACTTGTTCATTTTGTATTTGTACGAGAATAATTTAACTTTTTGAAAATACTTCAGCAGTTTCACTACTGGAACAAACTTGAACTTGCCAGTTAGAAATTAACTGTCACTTTTGTTTTTGAATGTGATAGATCTAGGATATACATTTAGTCAGCTCAGGATTCTTTCCCTTCCTTATATCCTTTACATTCCCCCCAAGTCCTCTTTCCTGGTGGCCACATATATGTATGTTTATAGCACTGAGGAAGAGGAATTTGCTCAGTGCTAACCACTGTTCTGTGTCCTGCATGTTGTTTCAGGGGTACGTATGACTGAGCCAAATGCTGTCCAAGCCTGGTTGTGTACACACATCACCTCATTCAGTTATGTATTGATTATGACTGTGTTCATGCTAGAGCAGCAGTGTATTAAGTACAAGTCGTTTTGACAGAGATGGAATGGTCCATAATGCCTAAAATATGTATTATCTCGCCCTTTACATGCAGTTTGCTCAGCCCTTATATTAGTTTGCTAGAGCTGCCATAACAAAGTATGACAAACTAGGCAGTTTAAACCATAGAAGTTTATTGTCTCACAGTTCTGGAGGGAGAAGTCGAAGATGAAGGTGTCAGCAGGGTTGGTTCCTTCTGAAGGCTACTGAGGGAGAATCTGTTATGCTTCTGATGGTTTGCTGGCAATCTTTGGTGTTCCTTGGCTTTTATAAGCGTCATCATGCTCTCCACCTACATTTTCACATGGCGCTCTCCTGTCTCTCTTCAGTCTTCCCCCTGTGAATGTGTGTCTATGTCCAAATATCCCATTTTTATAAGGACGCCAGTCGTATGGCATTAGGGCCCACCCTAATGACCTCATGGTAACTGGGCTACATTTGCAGAGCCCCTATTTCCAAATAATGTCACATTCTGAAATATAGGTGATTAGGACTACAAATTTTGGGGGAAAGCAATTCAATTCATAGTCATTATTTTTGGTCCTGCAATAGGGTGTCTATGAGGCACACATGGTTTTGTTTTTCCTTTCACCCACCCTAGTACCTTCTAGTACTTGACTCTTAAGAGCTAGTCTGAAAAATATGATCAGTAACCAATGAAGGGCAGGCATCTTTCAAATCTCATTTCCAAGTTCCTCTTAATCTTTGTAAGGAAACAGTTCAATTCTGACAATTCAATGAAATTGTCCAGTGAAATTGCTAGAGAAAAGTTTTAAAATGTTGAAATAGCCTGGCCAGTGTGGCTCAGTGGACCGAGCATCATCCTATGTACCAAAAGCTCAGGGCACATGACCAGGTTACATGCTCGATCCCCAGTAGGGAGCATGCAGGAGGCAACCCATTGATGCTTCTCTCTCACATCGATGTTTCTATTTCTCTCTCCCTTTCCCTTCCTCTCTCTTAAAAAAAAAAAAAAATCAATAAAAACATCTTTAAAATGTTGACATAAATTTAAATAAAATTTATTTCAATTATCATCTTGTCTAATCTAGGATAAAAGGTATACATTATAGGACCTGGCCAGTGTGGCTCAGTTGGTCGAGCACTGTCCCATGCACCAAAAGGCCACTGGTTTGATTCCCGGTCAGGGCACATGCCCAGGTTGCAGGTTTGATCCCCCATCAGGGTATGTAAGGGATGCAACTGATCAATGTTTCTCTCTCTAAAAAAAATCAATAAAAACATATTTTTTAAAAAAAAGGTATGCACTATATAGGCTCTGATTTAGAGGCAAATGGGATCATTTGTAGACGTTTAAGGTATGTGTGGAATTAGATCAGAAATTTGTATAAACAAATTCAAACCCTTTATTTGACAAATAAACTGAACTCAGAGAAGGGAATTATTTAATGTTACTCAATTCACTAGTAGCACTTTTGCAACTAAAATCTTGCTGTTTTGATTTATTCCAGCTCTCCCACTATACTGTATTTTGAATGAACTCATTGCTATTCTAGACTCAATTTAAAGGAATTAGATTTATCTAAAAACATTTGTTTGCTAAGCTTTTTTACTATGTACTATTTTATTTTTATTAAAAAAAATGTCTTTATTGATTTTTAGAGAGAGAGAGAGGAAGGGAGAGATAGAAACATTGATGTGAGAGAGAAACATCAATTGACTCCTCCTGCACACCCCCTCCTGGGGATTGAGCCCACAACCCAGGCATGTGCCCCAACCAGGAGTTGAACCAGGATCCCCGTACATGGGACTGAGACACACAGGCTGGACTGTACTAATTTTATTATGTAGTATTATGTACTATAATGGTATACATATTTTTGGAACAGAATAAAACAAATACCACAGAAAATGTTAAAAATTGAAACATTACCAAAAATCTTCCAATAGCCATATTCTGATTTAAACACAGTCGATTTTTTATTAAGAATGGGTTTGGGACACTTTTAAATATATGTGCATGCTATCCCCGTGAATCCTTAATTGGAGAAGTTCTTTGGAATTGTTTGGTACAACTCTATAGAGCCTAGTCCAGTGACAGAGGTAAGACGGAAAAAGTCATGAGTATGTCTACTCACTGAGGAGTTTCTGGTTTTCAGCAGTGAGTGAACTTCATTTTTCTACCTAAACTTACCTTTCTCTAATAAAAAAAAAATGTAGTAAAACATACATAAAATTTGCCATTTTAACATTTTTATTTATTTATTTATTTATTTTTATCCTCACCCACATTTTTTGATATTTTGTTCAGATAGAGTGAGAAGGGAGAGAGAGAGAGAAACATCGATGTGAAAGGGACACATCGAGTGGTTGCCACCCACACGACCCAACCAGGGCCGGGGACAAACTGCAACTGAGGTATGTGCCCTTAGCGGGAACTGAACCCAGGTCTCTCGGGACCACAGGCTGACGCTCCAACCACTGAGCCAAACTGGCCAGAGCCCATTTTAACATTTTTAAATGCACCATTCAGTGTTACTAAGTATATTAATATTGTTGTGCAACTAACACGGCTACCCATCTCCAGAACTATTTGCACCTTATGAAACTGAAACTGAAACTGTACCCATTTAACAGTAACTCCCCAGTTCCCCTGCCTCAAACCCTGGTAGTCATCGTTCTACTTTAAGTCTACACAATTTGACCCTCTAGGCACGTCATATAGGTGAAACCATGCAGTATTTTTCCTGTTGAAAATACGGACACTTCACAAATTTGTGTCATTCTTGCGTAGGTGTCATGCTAATCTCTGTACTGTTTCAACTTCAGTTTATGCTATCGAAGTGAGTACTTTCTCTAATTTTAACATTACTAACTGCTAAAAAAATGTTGAAATACTACTTCTAATAAGACATACAAATGTAACTGGGTTGGAAATGATAAGCATTTACTTTCCTGGGTGCACCTTGCCTCATCTCTTTTACTCCTGAGTGCTCCTCAGCCTCTTTCAGGCAGAAATATACATTGTAGTTAATATCTACTTTGAAACCTCCTTCTCATTAACTGTTTCTCTTCCCGGGGAAGTTTATACCTGCTTAACTTTTTGGTAATTTTTTTGGAGATTTTCATGTGAGCTTTGGTTAGTTACTGTTTCCATCATGGTTTTGTATCTTATGTGCTATATGTTGTAGGCCTTGAGGATTTTATGTTCTGAAAATCAAATGAAAGAAATAAATGCTTTATGTGGACCTCAAGGCAAATAGATATTGTTATGAGTTAACTATTTCCTGCCCTGCAAACTGACATTCCCCCTCATGAGAAATACTTTTATTTAATCATTCTATTCTGTATTTTATAGGCTGCTCAAGAGAAAGAAGAACTTCAACGGGAAGGTGACAGTTTGGATGCTAAGATCAACAAAGCTGAAAAAGAAATCTATGCTCTAGAAAACACCTTGCTAGTGCTGAACAGTTGCAACAACAATTACAAACAATCTTTTCAAAAAGTGACTCCAGCTAGTATGTAGAAGCTAACATATTTTAATGACTATGCAATGGAAGCTGTATAGTTATTGTTTAAAAAGAAACACTGTGAGACATGGAAAACAAACATGTACTATGTTTGAGTCAGAACCCCCACCACTTTTTAAATAAGTGCTAAGGTGTTATTTCCATTATTAGTTCTAATGATATAGCATATAACTTCTCTAGGGGGTTCATTCCAAATCTGTAGAAAATAGCATATCAGTGGCTCTGTGTCAACTAAAACATACTATTTTTCAACAAGTAGACATAAGGAATTTAACCTTTCATAAGAAAAAAAATGTTAGTTTAATATATGTAAGACTTTAAGATTGCTTTCTACAGAGTATATTAAATATTTATACTAAAAATTCTTTAAACTCTAGGTGATGAGTATGAACTAAAAATCCAACTAGAAGAACAGAAAAGAGTTGCTGATGAAAAATACAGATTCAAACAAAGACAAATCAGAGAGCTACAGGAAGACATCCAGGTGAATTCTATAGGCTTTAATAATAAGCCCTTAGTAGAATCAATAATCATTATGTCTACTTTTTTGTTATCTTGTACAAAGACAATTTTTTTTTTTTTTTAGAAAAGTAGATAGTAAGAGATAAGTCTCATTTAAATGAGAAGAAATAAGTGATTAAAGCATTCAATAGTTAAGATCCCAGTGGTAAGCACAGGCTGGACTCCTGACCATCACTTGTTAATTAGTTGATGGATCACTGCTAGTTAATTATGATCTCTTCCTCTATCTTTTATTTTCACATAATTTTTTTTTTTTTTTTTTTTTATCCTTACCCGAGGTCTTTTCTCCATTTTTTGTTCAGGTAGAGTGGGAGGGAGAGAGAGGAACAGAGAGAGAGAGAGAAACATCAACGTGAAAGGAACACATGGAGTGGCTGCCACCCGCACGACTGACCAGGGCCGAGGACAAACTGCAACCGAGGTACGCGCCCTTAGCGGGAACCGAACCCCGGTCTCTCTGGACCGCAGGCCAACGCTCTAACCGCTGAGCCAAACCGGCCAGGGCTATTTTCACGTAACTCTTTAAAGATCACCTTAAAGATTGCCTCATAAAACAAATAAAATGGAAAGATGAAAATAATCTAGTACAAAGAAGACACGAAAGCACATCACTGAAAGAGAAAACAATGTGCTTGCTAAGCAAGCTCTACATGAAATTTAGATTTAAAAAAAAATCCTCACCCGAGGATATTTTTCCATTTATCTTCAGATAGAGTGAGAGGGAGGGAGGGAGCGAAACATTGATGTGAGAGAGACACATCAATTGGCTGCCTTCTGTATGTCCCCGACCAGGGCCAGGAACCAAACGCAACGGAGGTACGTGCCCTTGACCGAAATTGAACCTACGACTCTTTGATCCATGGGGGGGCTAACATGTTAACCACTGAGCCAAACTGGCCAGGACTAGATTTTTTTTTTTTTGCTAATAAAGTTGAAGGAAAAAATGAATTGTGAATCTCTTAAAACTGCATTCTTTCAATAGTTATTGAATTGTTTATTTTTCCAAGTACCATAAAAATACTTTCCAGTGGAATTACATATAAAACTTAATCCATTAAACTATTATCTATTTACCAGCAGAATGGATATTATATACAGAAATAAATGAACTAAGATTAATTGAATGCTTGACAAATGGCAAGTAATAAAAGTTATTTTTTATTCTAATATGTTAATACTTTATTTTGTGCAGAGCATGGAAAATACGTTAGAAGTTATAGAACATTTAACAAACAACACCAAAGAAAAACTATTAGAGAAGCAAGCTTATTCACTTCAACTAAGTAGAGAAATTGAGGAGCAGAAGCCAAAATTCGAGAGAGTAACTAAACAGGTATTGATATTTTAAAAAACTGACCTGTCATATTTACATTTTTTGAAGTTCCAAAAGGTAAACCCAAATCCTCCTTCATCCATTAAATAATATTAAGTTAAGTTAAGGAAAAAAGGTTTATATAACAACTGACTACTGTTGACCAACAGTGTGCAAAACTCACCAAGGAAATCCGTCTTTTGAAAGATACAAAAGATGAAACACTGGAAGAAGAAGACATCAAACTTCGTGAATTGAAACAGTTTCACAAGGTCATTGATGGAATGTTAGTTCATGTCACAGAAAATGTTGAGATCCATACTATCCTTCAAATGTACTTTCAACAGGTAGTACCTGTACCTTCCAGTTAAATATAAATATTTCTTAAACATATCATGAAAATAATGTATGGCATTCATCAAAGTGAAATCTAATGAAAAATATTCCACTTCTAAAATGCAGTGGTATTGATTGCTATTGAATCTTCTTCCAGAAAGGTTTAGAACTACCTACAGTCAGTACTAAAGGCAGTCGTCAGAGTCCTAGACGTTCTTCACAGACTTCATCATCAGTAAGGTAAGTGGAAGGTTAAAAACCATGTCCTCAACCCTCCTGGCGGCTTCCCTTAGTGAACCCGCCATGTCACACTGCCCCAGCCGTGGGACCTGCCTGTGCTCTCATCCTTCCCCACATGCCTGTCAGCGGCACAGATGCTGACAGCCGCAGAGCAGCTTCCTTTCCAACCTGTCTGGTGCCACATTTCCATTACAGCAGAGTGCTGTGTGATTGACGACCAGCCATTTCAGTACGATAAAGCAGGGGGAAATTTTAGAGTATATCTAGCATGATCAACCTTGGGGGGGGTGGTGGGGATTTTTAACCATAAAAAGGCAAGTTAAATGTAGAGACATAGAGTGTAATTTTTATGATTAAAACTATCATCAGGGATGTTCAATGAATACTCTTGTGCTTTGCTGACAAAATAAAAATTAACTATCCTAATTTTAAAATTCCCAATTTATTACCTTCAGTGGCCACTTAGTTTTCATTAGGCAATGTAGGGATTTCACAAAGACAAAGGAATGGCCTAAAAGATAAAAAGAACTGTTTCTACATAAACATGGTGGGCAGCCACTTGGACATCCCTGTACTATCATAAGACATTATATATATATATCCGAGGATATGTTTATTGATTTTAGAGAGAAAGGGAAAGAGAGAAACATCGACTGGTTGCCTCCCATATGCACCCCGACCAGGAATCAAACCCACAACCTAGGTATGTGCCCTGACCGGGAATCGAACCCGTGACTGTTTGGTGTAGGAGATCACACTTCAACCAACTGAGCAACCTGGCCAGGGCCAACATATATTTTTTAACTTAGCATTTCAGAATTGTATGGCTAGTAATGATTTTCAAATGATCCACATTTTTCCCCTGTGAACAGGTCTCTCACTCTCTTCTCTTCTCTAACCTATCACTTTAATCACTTTGCCAGCACCCAAGTCCCCATGCCCCTTTTGTTGCCTTTCATGCTTAATGAATTTTGCAAATCTTTAATGTTTAATGACTCTCTCTAAATTAATTAGCCAAAAACATTTTTCTTACAGTCATATTTGTTAAAGTATTTTTCTACTGGTTGGAAACTATTATGGTTCATTACTGTTCTTTTCCTTTAAAAAAAAAAAAAAGTTTCTTGATAATAATGGTCACACTTCAAAATTTATTATTGTATTATTAACATTAGGTACTTTTTGCTCTAATTACTTGTGGGATTATGGTATCTTTCATTATTAATGAGGGGGTTTCTATTAAAATATAAATTTTGAATTAAATTGAATGTTTTTTTCTTCTAGGTCATCTGGGAGTACAAGTACTTCTACTTCTCAGACTTCGATCAAAGTACTAGAGCTAACCTTCCCGCCCTCCTCTTCACCTGGCAGCACTTTTAGGCCAACTAGTACTAGCAGTAGCTCCAGTAATAGTAAAAGCAAAAGGAGCAGCAAGTAAACATTTTAATCTCTCTTTTGAACAAATTATAAACACAAATAACAAAAATTTCACTTTTAAAATAGTAAATTCCAGTCTATGCTTCTGGGTGCTGTATAATGATATATAGAGTTCTACTGAAATCGTGTTAGGCAATGACCAAATTTTATCCAGTGGAAATGTAAAAACTGGTAGTTAAAAAAATAGTCAAGCCAAAGAAATGTTTAATTTTCTTATCCCTTTTCCTATTTTCTTCTGCACAGTGAAGGAAAGTAGTCATACCTGATTTTAAGGCTACATGTTATACAGTCATAGGGAAAATTATATGTTTTTACTGTTATTTTTGTCTGTTATAATAGAAAATAGTTCACTTCATTTTTTCACACTAGCCATGCAACTACACTCAGAATCTTTCAGGAAGAAATTTTTAAAGATTCAAAAAAAGTTTATAACATTACTAAAATTCTCATTTACCCTAGAAGATCCTGATAAATTTACTCTGTTCAAAGAAATAAACTTCCCAGACTTTTGGGGGAGAAATCTGTTAGTTTCTTCTTTGGTATAACTTAAAATTTTTAAACCAAAAAACTGTATTACCTTCACCCCCTCCCCCCGAGAAAACTATTGATGGGAAAGAGGAACAATATACATCAATAAAAATGCAGCTCAAATTTTTAGGGATCACTCTACTCTGATCCTGAAAGAAGTCAAGCACCTCAAAGATTGTGCTCTCAAGACAGACAACCATACATAAAGAATAAGAATGTATTTTCAAAATTTTCTTAATTTAATAAACAATGTAAAGAAAGCTAGGTATGATTTGAATAGAAATTCTATAAACTTAGAGAAGGCAGACCACCAGATATAGAATGTTATTTCAGTTAATACTTCATTACATTTCCCCAGCACTTTGAACTCTTGGAATCCTGTGGAGTATGAGTACTGGTTTTCAAATAAATGTATTAGAATGTAAGTGCTTCAACAAGTATTGTCTCCTTCAAACTTTGGAAAAAATATTTGATAATTTATGGCAATTGTCATTGTTTAGAACTGTCATTTGTAGTTCCTTCTGAAAGGCAGGAGCGGTATTAAGCTCTGGCTGATGCATGAGCATTTATAGGATCTAAAAACGGATTCATCTTGTAGTTGCTTTGTAAGTTTTCCTTTGTCCTATATTACTTTGAACTTAAATATTACATACTGTTCTATGAAGACAGGGATTTTATCTTACTAGCTCTGTGACCTTGGGAAAGTTAGTTCTCTATGCTTTTTTCATTTGTAATACAGGGACAGTAAGAGTTACCTATATCAAACGTTTACCAAAATAATCAGATAATTTATACAAAATGCACATGGCCTGACATGTGGGAACTGCACAGTCATTATTGAGCTACCACCCAGAACCTAGCACAGTATTTGTGGAATGGTTAGGCTCTCTGCCAGCATAGAAGTCTACATTTAACTGTTAAATAAAGTAACAGTTCTAACTTCAGTGTAATAATGCTAAATGATGAGACAAGCAATCAACCTCATCTCCACATCTGGAGTTATCTTACGTCCACGTGTTGTAAGGAATCCAAGGCCCAGCCTGGTATGTACAAACTATAGACATGTTAAGGGAAAAAAAATGAAGATATCACTAGGGATTCTTGTTAAGTATATCCCATTTTGTTTTTTTCTGTGATGGGTTTCTCAAACATATCCTTAGAAATTGGAATGTGTACTCTGCCTAAGTTTACTATATCCCAGTAAAGCAGCTCTGGGGAAGATGAAATTTCTAAATTCAAGCAGGCTGTTGTATAAGTACTATCCTGATTTTTTTGGTACCTGAATGTCACATTAAGCCACAAAGATGCTTTGGGAAATTAGTCTGGTTGCTAGTGATGCTCAAAAAAATTTTATTACATAAAAATGGTGTATGTAAAATTCTAAAGCTGTACTAGAATTCCTAAAAGTCAAGGGCTATATAAAAAAGTTTTTCAACCTTTAAAAACACCACTATGGAGTGAGACTGGAGCTCTGAATACAGAAAAAGAACAAGACTTTTGAGTTTCTTGGTGTAAAGACTAATGCCCACATGACTAATTCCTCCTGCTACAACCTATTGTGTTTGATCTGTTTCTTTCTGTTCCACTGCAAAACTAGTTTTTGCTAATCATTAAGCTCCCATCACTAAAACCTAAAAGTCACAAATAGCACACACCCAATTATACTTAAAGTTTTGGTATTTTACTGTTGGCAAGAATGGTGAGATAGAACAAGGACTGATGTCTATCTCCTCATTAATTCTTAGACCTTTGTAGGTGGACACTCATCTATTCCCCCAACCCACCCATCTGGTGTCATCATGAGTGACAGTCTTAAAGGCCCATTACCATTTGCAGTGTCTAGAATCTTAAATTGGAAAGATTCTAAAGGCTATTATAAATGCAACACCAATTAGTCCTATCTTTATCTCCCTAATACACTATACTGTTTACAATTAAATGGGGAGGATATTTGCAACCTGGGCCCCTTCTTCAGCTCTAGTTGCTGGAATTTATTCTGAGTAACAGGCTCTGTTGGCCTAGTAATTTATTCAGAACCTGAGAAAAGAGGCATCAGGGGAAACGTCAGGGGAGAGGTAGTGTCAAGGAAAAAAAGCAGGATTGTAGGCCAGCTCTACACTATTTAAGAACATGCCCATTGTTTTCCAAACGGAACATCTGCAATACTAGTTTCCTCATTTTCTTTCTTTCTAGAAAAAAATCAGATTTATAGTATACTTTTCTAGAGGATTCTCTTCTATTCTTATCTATTCTTGCCTGAAATGCAGTCTCCAAAGTCTTGCCAATATTGAAAGTTAAAAAATTTCTTAGGGCTATACTGCTAAGCAATAAGGCAGGTAGGTAGGTAGGTAGATAGACAGAAAAAAAGAAATAAGGAAAACAGGCCCCTATTTAATTTCATGGCTTTATTCCTAAGATACTTGTTAAGCTGGTATACAAGTGTTTTTTTATTGACTCAGGTTTTAGAGGCCAATTAGATAAGACAGATAATCTGTCTACCATTTTAAAACAAGTTATATAAAAATTTAATATTTAAACAAATGATAAATATAAAATAGTACTTACAGAACATTTAAATGTATCTCTTTCAAAAGCCGAGGGCTTTTAACAGAAAAAAGAAATAATTTTTGATGAAAACAATCCAAGTGTTCAATACACAAATTTAATTTTCTCTCAAACAGGATAAGGGAGACCCCAGGAATTCTCATACACCATAATACAATGAACAATACTTTGAGAATTATCTTTAAGTGAAGTTTAAATCATCAGAGTAAGAAATACTATACATAATTTATGAAAGCCTACAAATCAAGCTATGAATGGGCACCTACAACTGAAACAAAATATAGTTTGAGAATAGCTAAAAAGCATTTGCTTTCTGCAATCTCTACAAATAAGATAACTTTAGGAGCAGAGATTTCTGCACTGGGCTGTTATAACTAAAAGACCCAAAAACTTTTGACAGCCTTTAGTAAATAGGCTACATAGTGCTGATTCCCTTGGCACATTAATTTTTTTGCTTATTTCCTTTTTCTTTTTCAAATGCAGCTATCTGATTAAATATATTGAGTAAATTTTGAGGTAAATTTTTTTTAACTACACTTTCTGAATGCTCTTTGCTATTTACTTCATCTCTTTCTGAAACCTCTGTTTTAATATCCTCCTCATAATTATATTCTCTTTCATATTCTCTATGATTTTTACTTAATTGACATCTTTGCTCATGTCTACTGAAATCACGTGATCCAGAATAACTACATTTTTTATGTTTTTCGACGGACTTAGAAGAGTGGTCAGAGCCAGCTGGTGAAGTGGAATACCTCATGGAACCTGGCTCCCACTTTCTATAGTGCTCTTTTCTTCCCTCTGCATCTTTTTCACATTTTCTATAACCACAACTTTTTAACTTGTCTTCTGGATTCCTAGAGAAGGAATCTGAGGAATCTCTTCTACTGGAAAAATGTCTTTCATATTTATATGGCTTTTCTGTTTTGCTACTACCTGCCTGAGTTTTATAGCTATTATAAAAGTCTCTTGAATCTTCAGACCTACCTCCAAAATCATCCGGAATTTCAAGTGAAGATGAAGAGAGAGGGCACCTATCTTTCTCTTTTACCTGTTTCTTTTGATATGGTACCCTATCTTGCTTTTCCAGTAGTTTTTCCACTTCTTGTCTTTGGTTAAGAAAAGATGCTGAAGTATTAGCTGGAACTGGGAAGTACTCATCTTTCCTATCCTGATCTATCTGATTTGAGGATGCCTTAGCTGAATGCCTTTTAGAACTTCGAGAAGACTCTGAACGGTTTCTCTTATGTTTCTTATGCCTTTTGTGACCAGAAGAGGAAGAAGATGAAGAAGAAGAAACTGATTCATCACCAGAAGAAACACTTGAAGAGGAAGAAGTTGATTTTCTTCTTTTCTTCTTTAGCCTAAAAAAGTAGTTCATTCATCAGATGTTACATACAAAAATGTTTCTTAATTATCCATAGAGTTTTTAGTTCTATTTTGTTTCCCTTAATGATTTCCTAAAAGCTGTGGCTTAGATAAGCAATTATTATAGTAATCTTAGTTACTGTAAGATCCAATTTTACCATCAAGCACTACTTTTGGGGGAAAAATACTTGTGTAGATAGTTGTCACTCTAAGCAAATCCATTTCTGCTAGACACAGTGACATTTCCAACATTACCTTAAAAAACAAGACCAGCAGAACACATAAAGGAGAAAATTAAAATTTTATATCTGGCTATCTCTAGAACATAGATAATCTCTCCACCTCAGCACTGTTGACATTTTGTTGGGAGTACAGGGTGGTAGTGTGGCATGGAGGGGGGTCCTACAACATTAATGTAGGATGTCTAACAGCACCCCATTCTCTGTTCACTAGATGCCAGTAACATTCCTCCAGTATGACAACCAGGAAAAAACTGCCCCCTGTTGAGACCAACAACTCTATTTCTAAAATACTTCTCCCTAAAATACGATAATTAACATAACATTACAGTAGAACCATGGATCTTGGAACTTAATTCATTCCAGAAGACTGTTCAAAAACCAAATCACTGCCCTGGCCGGTTTGGCTCAGCGGTTAGAGCATTGGAATGCGGTCCAGAGAGACCCGGGTTCGGATCCCGCTAAGGGCGCGTACCTCGGTTGCAGTTTGTCCCCGGCCCTGGTTGGGTCGTGCGGGTGACAACCACTCAATGTGTCCCTTTCACATTGATGTTTCTCTCTCTCTCTTTCTCCCTCCCATTCTATCTGAACAAAAAATGAAAAAATGTCGAGGATAAAAAAAATCAAAAACCAAATCACTTTTTCATTTTATCAGAAATAATGTAAACTGAGTTAATCTGTTCCAGACTACCCAATGATTCTGTTTTAATCTTTCTTATATACAGTACATATCTAATGTACTGTTTAATTTATAAACACTTTAAAAATAAAAAAGACATGAAATGTAAATGAAAATTTAAAAGGAAATAAAAAATTTAATAATAATCAGCAACAAAAGCAAAAACAACAAAATGAAAATATTCGTAGCACAATTTCCTGAGATGTTAACAATGTGAAGTTTAGTAGTACACCGACTCATACTCGTACGTTCTCTCCTTTGTCACCTGAGAGATGCGTGACTGATCATATGGGTATCAGCATGAAGCAGTTGCTAGGTCAAGAACCACACTGTTTGAGATGGGAGATGTTTGGAAACAGGTCTGAAATTCCTTTTTCCTCCCAGATTTCTAGCCTTAGAATTCTACTTTCCTTGATCTCTCACAGAAAAATTTATGGTACTTGTAATTGTTAAGAATAACCGATTATGACTTGAAATACTTTTATATTTTTACTTACTTTGCCTCCATATGGCACCGTGGTTCAACTCAGTAGTTGCTTTAAGTTAAAGAATACTGAATGTTACAGTTTACCTTTTCTCCTCTTTTAAGAGCTTACGCAACTTTTCTGCACTTGTTTCTATTTTCTTTGTTTTCTGCTTTTCTTCTTTTTCAGCTTGTTTTTCTCTTAATTCCAAAGATTTCTTTTAGAACCCAGATATCAAAAAAACCACACATTAAAAATAGCAGAATATGTAAAACCCAGTTTTAAAAAACCACCCCCACCAGAAACCAAATGCCATATATACCCAAATCACCACATATCCAGCATTAAACAAGTATTTTTAACATATAAAAATTAACCATACAGGTGTTTGGCATTAATCATTGGAATAGCCAGAACAGTATTGAGGACCATATTGCAGTTGGTATTCCATGAGAAAAAGGGAAGCCATTGCATTGGTACCCATAACCCAGAGCGCAAGAAAGGGAAAAAATAAATAATTATTATTTTAAAAAATTGAAAAATTTAAACAGGAAACAGATTATATAAATAAAATTCAAATAAATTCCATTAAGGTAATTGAGGGGGGGATCACCATGTTCAAATACAAACCATTTAAAAAATAGCACAGCCCAGTTGGATGCATGATTACATAAGAAATCATTTTCCAGTTTGAGGATGGGGATGAGCAGCACCAGATGTCACAGACACAGCAGCAATGGTCCAATTCAGAAGAAAATGCATGAGAAAACATCATCATCAGTATTACAGGAAAAGACAGTTTAAAACATCTCTCAAAAATATTTTTAGAATTAGCTCAATTATAGTAACATCACTGAATTCTGTAACCACCAGGAAAGTTCACTACAAGGATAGTACTCAAAACCATGTACCAAATTTAGGGAATCAGAATTTTCTCATATGGCTATTTTTACTTTTGAGTACTACAAATAAAAAAGGAGCAATGTCAAACCCAATTAGGAAAAGTTGTATCTAAAAAGAAACTTTTCATAATGCCTTAAATAATCTAGAATAGTTTTCCATAGAAGAAAGTTAACTTTTGGCATTAATTTCAAATATCACTAAATTTCTAAGAGGAAATAAAGAATCACCTGCATATATTTATGAAGCTTCTGCAAAGCATCCTCTGCATCTTTAAATGTCTCATCCAAATCCAAAGCTTTCTTATAGTAACTTTCAGCATTTAAAAATTTTTCTTCTTCTTCTAACCTAAATTTGAGAGGAAGATTTGGCTTTTTTGTAAAAACAAAGTCCTCAAATATACATACAGGTCAGAGGCTTATCTGAGAGAACTTATTAGGAAAAACTGTGTTTAATAAATTATTTTCCAAATTGAACAATACCTAAACCAAGCTTTTTACTACTACTTCTTTGGGAAAGAGACCATGTAAAACCATATTAAAACAAAACCAAACCAAACCAAACTCAGATATAGGGAACAGAATGGTGGTTGCCAGAGGCGGGGGTAGAGGGTGAGTAAAATGGATGAAAGTGGTCAAAAACTGAAAACTTTCAGTTATAAAAATAAATAAGTTGAAAATGTAATGTACAGCATAGTGAGTATAGTTGTATAGTATTGTATATATAAAAGCTGCTAAGAGAAATCTCAATAGTTCTCACCACAATAAAAAAATAATTTGTAATTATGCGTGGCAAAGAATGTTAACCAGACTTATTGTGGTGATCACTTTGCAACATAAACATACAAGGCAGAGCAAAATTAGGTTTACAGTCGTTAGAATAAAAGATAATAAATAATAATACAAGAATAAATTCTGTAGTTCATGTACTCACAACTGTAAACCTACTTTTGCTCTACCCTGTACATTAAACCATTATGTTGTACACCTGAAAGTAATATAATGTTTTATGTCAATTCTATCTCAATTTGAAAACCAAAATAAACTCCAAAGTAAAAACAGGAATCATCTTTGATCAACATTTATGGCTTAGGTAACTAGGTAGGTGGTATTGACACCACTGCATGGCAAAAAGACAACCCATCTAAGTAGGTACCAGCTATCTACCTAGTAAGAAAGTAAAAAGCTGCTCCAATCACTTGGGTCCAAGTAGAAGTTTGTATGAGTTAAAAACAAATACTGCAAAATTTCAAGTTGGAATTCTGGTATGATTATACAAACTGGAATGATCAGACAAATTCATAAAAGAGAAAATTCTATTTTTAAAAATTAACAGCAAAAAGATGATATTAATTATAAACTGGTTTTTAATTATTAAAGCAGGCTGTTTATATAGTACTCATATTTAAAATATTATGTTCCTTCAAAATATATTATAAATTAGACCAGTCTATTAGTCATTAAAGAGTTACAATACAATTACTATGCAAGGTACTACATAAGTTATCTTAGGAGAATAACTTAAGTTATAGGATTTGTTCTTAATGATTTACTTTTCCACTTATTCTGAGTTTGTGCATTTCACTAGGCAGACTAGAGCAATAAACTGAATATAACAGTGAAATCTTATTCATAATTAACAACAGGAGTGCTAAATTCATATTTCTGACATTTTTCTACTAAACCGATAGAATGAATTAGAAATTAAATTCCTCTCTATTAAAATTTCTAGTATATGTCCAGGAAAAGGATATTTACCTAATTCCTTATACCTTTATATCTCTTTGTAATGAGAACAGACATTCAGAACAACAAACTCAAGTCACTAAAATATCTCCAATTAGAACAACAGTAACAAGGAAGAAATTACTACAAAATTTAAAGAAGACTGTACTTTAAAAACCTACTTTTTAAAGTAGGTCTTTTAACCAAAATCAAAACTAAGAGTGTTCTGAATTGAGTTAAAGATGCTACTTCCTTACATTAAGTTCAAGATTTTATAGCAGTTGGCTGAACATTAGATCTGTACTACTGAACAAAATCTGACACTTACTGTCCTCCTCTTTCTACAAGTGTCTGGCAGAGGTATTTTCTTGCATTCCTATGAGTTGGACAGTTTTCCAATGCAAGCTCAAAATCTTCTATTGCTTTGTTCAGACTTCCCTTTGTTGCATATCTAGAAATATAAAACAAAATTAGAAGAATTTATCTTGTGGGCTACTCATAAATCTTCTACATATTCACCTTGTAAATATTCCTTAAAACCTGTGATCCACTTACAATGCTCCACGAGCTACCAAAGCTTCCACATTTTGTTTGTCTATTTCCAGAGCCTTATTGTATTCATTCATGGCATCCACGTGGCGCCCAACCTTAAAATAATCAACTCCAACCTTCACGCTAAAAAGACATTTGGTAAAGCATCACAAACATTTCACAGACTATCCAAACATAATGTTAACACATATAAAATTATAAAGAAAATCTAATTTGGCTAATATTTACTCTTCCATACTCTCTATATACCTAAAAGCATTCTGCCTTTGGAAGTTTTGTAACAAATTTTAGGAATTCCAGACATCAATATACTAATTCTTTTTGAAAAAAAATTATAATGTTGCCTAAAACTTAAGTCTGTTAAGTTTATAGCATAACTCCATTTACAACTACAAGGCTAATGTCAAAAACTCCCTTTAATTCATTTATAAATAAATTTGGTCTTAATGATGACATAAGAATTCTTGTCTTGCCCTAACCTTTCAGGCTAGACAATGCAATTGCTGAAAGACAAAGTCTTCATACCATTTTAAAGCCCAAGATGCAGACTGTTTCTTTCTTAATGCAGAAGCAAAATCGTCTTCAGAGAAATTTTTGCTATTAAAGAAAATAAAAGTCAAACCATATAAATACTTTTTCATAACTATAGTTTACTCTGACAGATAATAAAAACTCAACAGTGAAAAAGTAAATCCCAAGCCAGAAATTTGTATTCCATTTACAAAAAAAAATTCCTGAATTCTCAGGAATAACTATTATTTTAAGAATAATGTGACTTTTCCTTAGCGTATATACAACATTCCTACAAATTTTCTAATTCTTTCTCTATTTGATCACATGTTATACAATCACTGGTAAGAGACTTAGTTCCAGAAGGAGACAGGATCACCTAGTTCATTCAACCTTTGTCATATTGCTGCCATTAGGCTTAGTATACTTGATGCATAGGTCAATGTTCAACCACTGAGCCACACCGGCCGGGCAGGCTTAGTATAGTTGAATATGTCCCTTAGTTATGCAGCTTTTGAGCTCAGTACCATTCACCTTACCCCTTAATAGAGTAACAGTGATTTACTATACCTTTGTAGGCCTCTCATTAAAGATGGTGGGTTAGCTTCATCTATTCCTAGTTTTCCTAGAAGGAATTCAACTACTCCTGGATTAGCAAATCCCAAAGAACTTTGCATGATACTTTCATACGATTCCAAAGAATTGCTATTTAGTTCAACACTCCTCCTTAAAAAAAAAAAATAACATAATTAGTATGTCCCATTTCTGTTTAAGAAATATCATTATCACCTGGACTTTAAATACTCACACCATAATTTTGTTATGGCAATGAAGGTGTGGCAATATCATGATTTGGTTCACCAAGTTTGAAGAAATTTAAGGGTTATAAAAATATAATGAACATACTTTGAAATAAGAGAAATTAAAATTCTACTTTGTTGTCAGAAGTTGGACAAAATTTGCTATTTTTTTTTAGTCAAAAAACTGTTTTGCAATTAACTGTTGTTGAAATAATGTGGATAATTACCTGTAGTACAAAGGAAGCTCTTCAGAACTAATTACACCTAACTTAATACCAGATAGGTGTGGTGGAAGAGATGAGCTATATAGAGATACTGCAAGCTTTTCATGATATCTGTCAATATCCTTGATTCCAGCTTAAAAAAAATAAGAAAACTAAGCTGATTAACAAGGAAATGCAACTTCCCCCCCAAAAAAACCAAACACAAAAAACACTATTCTTATTAAACTACATTTTAAAAACCAAAAATCTGACAATGGTTATTAATTAATATAATAAAATGGATCACCTCGAATGATATCACCAGTTTGGTAATAAGATAAAGGATCCCCATGGTTACTGTGAGAAGGCACATCTCTTAATGGACAAAGAGCCTGCAATGAGAAGTGTTTTTTTGATTCAGTTCAAAAACAAATCTCGTGAAATCTGCAATTAGTTTTAGTAACCAAAGATAAGTATAGATGATAGAACCAAAAGATATTTTTGTTAAAAATGAAATAAAATTTTGTCCAGTAAGTATGAGAATTCCAATGAAAATGAAATGTGAACTCTCCAAAGTTTATGTCTGTTATCAAATCCAGTCTGTGATACCTTCTGCTTTTCTTCCTTTTCATCTGCCTTCATAGACAGCAAATATCAAACCTTTCAAAGTGACACATCATTTCAAATTCAGGACTATTCATCTCAGACAAAGTATCTTATAAGGTACAAATCACATTCAATTACTACAAAGATATAAATAGGCCAACAATTTATTTCTAAGTTATTCACATGCAAGTATTCAATGCCACCAAATATTAAATAAGGACACGTCCAGCTCGAAAAAGCCCCAAATGCCAATCAATCTGATCATACCCACTGATACCTCTTTTCACCCCTGCCAACCAAGGAGACCAAAACACTCCTAAAGCTAGAAATGGAGGAGTAAGTCTATTGCTGCTAGTAATTTTTTAAAAGAAAAAGGTACCTTATTTTTCTTCAGTTAAAATATTTAATTCTCAAAACTGTCAGCAGGGCACACTTAAGCACAACTGGATGCAGACTTAATTCTTACACTGAGATGATTATCAAAACAGAAGCAATCAAATAACTGAAAAGTGATGAACTTACTGTGATTTCCAAGTGGGATATATCTCTCATGATGCCACTGCCTAAACAAATCAACACCATGAAAAACCCAAATTCTCGAATGGAACTAATTCTTCCAATCACTATATCTCCACGCTCAATATCTCGGAAAAATAGCTCTCTGCGATCCATACTAGGTATTTCCATGAATTGCTCTAAAGGTGGCATGACTGCATAAGGATCTGAAAAAATTATTAACAAAATTACTGGCCATAGTTTTGTGCTCTGCTTTAGCTGAAGTATTGTTAAACTAACCACAATCAAAAGGTTTTAAGACTCAACTCACCTTCATTGTCTTCATTAACTTCAGAAGTCGCAGGTACATCTGATTTCCACGAAAGTGCAAAGAGCAGATCTGCTTTTTTGGAAATGAATTTTTGTATTTCAATGTTATCGATTCTCTTCTCTTTTCTAAAATAAGATAAAATAAAATGTATGAAAACTGGTTTATTTGCCAAGCCTTTCAGTACGTCCAAGCTTCTGCTTGCTCATGGCTTTCATCGCCCAAACTAGTTCATCCTGAAGTCCAGCCCGTACATCCTCGGAGCAAAAGTTTTAACCAGAGATTTCCTCACTCGCCAGCCTGAGGGTGAAGGGCAGGGACACTTAAAAAGTGACGCCCGCGGGCCCAGATGCGAAAGCCCAAGGAACTTCCGCTAAAGCACCCGCGCCTCCGCTGGGCAATTACCAGGGAAAGTTCGGCCGCATCCCGCACCGCCCGCCCTCAGGAAGGCGCACCTCCCACCCAGCCCTTCCTAGCGCCCGTCTTCACGTGCTCACGGCCACGCTCCGCTCCTCCTGCACTCATCGCCCGGCTGCGGTACTGCAGCCCCGAGCTGGGTCCCCTCCCCGGTTCGCAGCAGCGCCGCGGACTCATTACCTGCCCGGTGCCGGCTGCTGGGGCGGCGGGCCCCGGGCAGGCTCGGCTGCCGATCCCAGGAGGCTCCGGAAGTGCGGATTGTCCTGCTGCTCGCTACGGAGCAGGGACAGCAAAGACGGCCCGTGGTAATTCAGCGACTGCCGCAGAAGGTCCCGGTCCATGGTTAGAGATTTCAGGACGCCTAGTCCCCGGTTCCGAGCCCACTCGGTAGCAAGGTGGCCCCGGGGGCTGAGCAAGCACCCTGCAAGCCTCCGGAAGCTCACATCGCGGGCGCTCGGTGTTGCCTTCCGGAAGTATTCCCGAGCCGCCCGGGCGTCAGCGCCCAAGCGCGGGTCTCGCGAAATCGAGCGAGACTACGGAGGCCGGAAGGATTGGGCTAAGCAGTTCCTGAGCTAAGGGCTGACTGTGGCTGCGAGGTAGTGACGCGTGTGAGAAGTTTACTTTTTAAAATGTCCGTGGTGTCCTTAGATTGCAACGGCCCGAGCTCTAATCTAGGGTAAATAACAACTCATCCTTCAATTTAGCGAGACGCGTAAGTGCAGCTGCCCCAAACAGGCGAGAACCCCAAACGAGTTACCAAGGTTCTTCCCTCCCAGTGCTCGCTGGAGAAATCGCCACCTCCGTCTCGGGCATAACCACACCAAAACGGCCGGCGTGGGACGCCGCTGATAGGCCAAAGGGCAGAGGAAAGAAGGGACAGGGGCATGTATTAAGACTGGAATTGTGTTCTCCATCCATAGCCCATTCGCTTAGTTATTTTAGCATTAACCTAGAATGGCCTTAATGCCTAGACATACGCATATATGCTTTATTTTTTATTTTATCTAAGTGGCTTCTCAAAATTTAGTGCCCATAACGGTAAGATTTATTTATGGTATTGTGTATACTAAAGTTAATATACAGTACTTACTGGGTAATTCAAGTGATACTCAAAGGTAACTGTGACTTGGGCTTTCCCCCTCTGTTATTGACTGGAGAGCCTAACCAAGTATCTCATATACTCTCATTTAAGAGTTTGAGGAACCAGGCCCAGGGAACTCAGTAAACTGATTAATGTCATCTAGCTGATGAATGGTAGTTAGGATTCTAACTTGATCTTAATAGACTCTTCACAAGCAGAGTTGCTGGAGAGAGTTTACTTATCATATAGAAGGACTAACTTACTCTAACTTTGAGAATAGGTCTTATTTCAATATAGATTTGTCTTATTTCAATAGATTAAGATCTGTACCACTTAACTATGTATAGTTTAGTATAGTTCTCTTGAACAAACATAAATGGTAGCAGTTATTCTGCCCCCCTATCCAGTTACATGTCTTTGGGGAGATCAGGTTGCCTTTCACTGTTTGAGCACCTGGATAAAAGACCCAGCCCAGAATATAGTATATGCTGCCAGACAATTTTGTGAGAAATCCTGGCAAATAGGTGAACAGATTACTGAGACGTGAGAAAATGCAACAAAAAAGAATGTAAATTTAAAAGAATAAATTTCTCCCTGGCTGGGTAGCTCAGTTAGTTAGCACATCATTCCAATATGCTAAGGTTATGTGTTCATTCCTGGTCAGGGCACATACAAAAATCAACCAATGGATGCGTAAATAAGTGGAACAACAATTTGATGTTTCTCTCTCTTCCTTCTTCTTGCTAAAATCAATAAAATAACTTTAAAAAGAGAATAAATTTCAAGCCACTATTGACATATCAGGAAAGTTTAATCAGTGGTACAGACTCATTTGTTTTAGACTCTAAGACTATAGAGAATGACTGTTATTAGGAAAGTGGGTACTGTCATTGAAAAGGAAAGCCGACTACTAACAAGGCACTGAATAGACATTTTGGTTAATAAGATATGTAATTTTAGTTAGAGTTGATCTGTTACTAAGGATCTAATTATCTCTGGAGGGACTGAGAAGCTCAGTCTCTGAAAACCAGATGGTGAACAGTGGCATTTACCTGTCTTGCGAATGCTGCCTTGTGAGGCCATTCTTGAATAGTACCTGCCTTCACCATTATGGGATATGTCTATTTTTCCTAATTCTAACACATTCAACCATCCCCACATACCTTGGCCATCTGAAATTACTGTGGTATGGCCATGAAAATAGGGGAGAGTAGCTGCTTTTAGAGGGTAAGCAGCATTCATCAAGAGTGACATTTATTGAATGCTTGCTGTATACGTAGTTGTGACAGAAAAAATAAATTTCAAGCAGGTGTAATAAAAATTCTGGCTGTTTTTAAATCTGTGGTTAGTACTGGCCTTAAATGGAGATAGTCACAGAAGTTAAGTTCCAGAGGCAACCTTGTTCTTCACATCCCAAATACCACTCCCATATGAGGGGATTAAGCCTTTCACACACTTACAGGTGTATTTGAATTCATTTTCTGCTGGGATAGATACCCTTTCACTTTGAAGAGGATAGAGCACTGGATCTTTGAGGTAAGACCACCACAGGGAGTGAGAAGAGAAAGTGACGGGACTAGTTTTGCTTCTCAGAGAAATCAGTCCTACATATGGGATGTCTCAAGGTGAACATAGAAAGAAAACACCTTTTTCTCACTTCTTGCTATAATTTTTGGCTTACTGATTGACCTTTAAAAAATATTTTATAAATAACTTTTCAGATTAAGCAACATTAATAATTAAGTGAATACTTAATGGGAGGGAAGAGAGGGCAGGACATTGAAGTAGTCAGACTTTGGTGTCTGGATCCTGGGACTATTTTTATTGTGATGTCAAATTCCATTTCTAAATAAACACATGTACATCTTTTAACAAATACGTTCTAGGCCCTAGACATAAAAAGATGAAAAAGCCCACCTAGTTCTTGAGTGGCACAAATATAATAGAGGAGCAGACATAAGAAGAAACAAATATGGCACAGTGGTAAGACTGTTGTTGTACACACCTACTAAGTATTTACTTAGATCCCCCCTTTTTCTTTAATGGGGGATGAGGTATAGTGGGAGTTGATGGGGGTAAGAGAGGAGAGGAAGAAGGAAGTATGTGAATTGCAGGAAGAGGGAGCAATATAATTAAAGAAGTAAAGGTATGAAAAACAAGATGCATTCTGGAGACTGCAAGTGTGAAAGGTGGAAAGGAGTATTTTAGTTATAGACGTATAAGTTACATAAGCTGTCATTTCAGGTAGGTTATAGATTGGTTGGAAGAGACTGCCCTGTCTCCTCTGTGCGAGTACACATACACACACACACACACACACACACACACACACATAAAATGCCTGATTTATTTAGCAAAGAACACAAAAACTTAGCTGAAGCAAGGTAGCCACATAAAGCAGGGCAGAACATATCTCAAAGTAGCTTTTCTTGGATTTCCTAAGTTTCCCAAAATAACATTTACAGCTGTTAGTGACATCAAATGCAAAAGATAAAGTCTATCTGGATCTCAGAAACTTGTATATTACCACTTGAGAAGGACTTACACAAATAATTTATAACTATATAAGAAATATTTGTAGACAGGCTCTTCCTGGTTCTTAACTCGATATACATGATTTCAACAAAGCCTCATCCTCATCTGGGGTAAAGGATGAGATGTGTGTATCAGGAAAGGGCAAATGAACTGATTAAGACCCTAGGGGTATGTTAATAATCCTCCCTTCAATTTTTCTACATTTTTTTAACCTCCCTCTTCTTCTTTTTTTTTTTAAATCCCTGTTTGTTGCTTAAGCTAACTTGAGTAAATTTATGCTTTGGAACCCCAAACATCTTGACTAGTACACCAAGAATCCACCAAACTAATGCCTCTGTTCTTTCTGTTTAAAAAATGAACAAATAGGTATGGTGAGGTGAATAATTTATTCAAAAACTAACTTTAGAATCCACATTATCTTACTATATATCTGGTACTCTTTCTACCATGCCATATGGTTTAGAAGGTCAGTTGAAAGAATGCTCTTTAAGGATGTAGTTATAAATATATGTATGGAACTTATTTTTAAAATATCTATTGTTGGCCTTGGTTGGATAGCTCAGTTGGTTAGAGCATCATCTGGATACGCCAAGGTTGTGAGTTTGATTCCTGGTCAAGGAACATGTAAGGATCAACAATGAATGCATAAATAAATTGATCTCTCTCTCTCTCTCTCTCTGAAATCAATAAAAATATCTATTATTATGTTAACATCTAAAGATATCCTTGAACTTTTTCTCTAAAATGGGTACACTTAATTTCATTCATAAGTACTTGGTGTAAGATGATTAAATTACAGATGTTCTGTGTATAAATTAGTTACCTATGTTCTTTTTAAAGTTCTATTTAGAGTTACCAAGTTTAACCAAGGAATAATGAATACTAAATGGAAAATATGGCTAGATTAGCCAAAAATCTATCTTCATTATTAAAGAAATAATTTAAACTACAAACTCTTCTCATAAGGGTTGGTATATCTTCTTCCAATAGTCTTTGAAGGGATTCCACCACCTTCTCTTCTTATTTTTCATATCAAAGACCAATGCCTCAAGAGAAAAACATGGTCAGTTTAATAATTATCCACTTGAGGGTGCTATAAGATCATGTGGGTATCAAATCTTCTACCGTTTACCAGAAAACCTATTGCCAACTAAACAAGGATTCAAGGATGGGGAATTATATAGAGTCATTTTAAGATAGTTGTGTCTCTAACACCTTCATTTGTTAGTTGGTTGTAAATGTTCTGAGGATATTATTTTAATGTAAATCAGTTCATATTTCATTGTCTAGGATTGATTAGTTCAGTAATTTTTAATTATTTTTTCCGAGAGGAAAGACCACTGTTCAGTTCTAATTGAGGCCAGTTAAGTTCTGAACAGACACAGAGGTGAACACTGCACAACTTCAGTGCAGAGCATGGGTGGGGTTCCTGGTGCACTTACATCACAATCCATGTACAACACAAATGTACATGACACTTTTGGTTTATTTATTTTTATTTTATTTTATTTTATTTTTTTATCCTCACCCAAGGACATTTTATGATATTTTGTTCAGATAGAGTGGGAGGGAGAGAGAGAGAGAAACATCGACGTGTAAGGGACACATCGAATGGTCGCCACCCACACGACCCAATCAGGGCCGAGGACAAACTGCAACCAAGGTACATGCCCTTAGTGGGAACTGAACCTGGGTCTCTCCGTACCGCAGGCCGACGCTCTAACTGCTGAGCCAAACCGGCCAGGGCACATGACACTTTTGGAGATGTACAGTGCTTGACTATATGCAGTGGCCATCTGAATGGCCATTCTCAGCCAGCCATTTTCCCCTTGTTTTTCTTTGTTTACACAAAGGACTTGGAAATAGAAGGAGGATATTTTG